GTAAATATTTAATTTAATTCTTGTTATAGATTAAGTCAGTTTTCAATCAAGGAAATGTTTATAAAACATTATTGTTATTGCTGAGCTTTTATCTGATTTTGCGCAACACTAATAAAAATTTGTAATAAAATTCTTTGCAAATTGCACACAATTGCTTAACACAATTTTGATCAGCGATTGCAGCTGAAAGCGATTTGTGTTTTGTTAAGCACAAAATTGGGCATTATTGCAATGACACTGACTGACTGACTGGTTGATTGACTGACTGACTGATTTAGTGTGTGGGTAGAGGATCGGCTACTTGACTTGGCTTGAGATCATTGATCTTACCTACTTGGCGCTGCTAATTTGTATTATTAATTCAATCAATCACAGTCCGCTTAACGCAGTCCCTAACGATCCAATCGCTGCCGATCGACGGCAGCTGCCTTCGAGCATTGATCTCTCACCCATACACATACACAGTATATATATATTATATATATATATATATATGTATCTCGTCTCGGTCATTCATTCACTGGCGATTGGCATTTCACAAATGCGCAGCGTTCTAGTTTCTCGTCTCGATGTGAATATTTTCGATGTTGATGGCTGATTCGCATTTTCGTCTTGTGGCCTCTTGGCTGGCTAATTTAATTGTTTGCTTTTTCATTAAAGCGCTGCCAGCGAGAGAGAGAGAGAGAGAGAGGGAGATGGTCGCCTCTATTTAGCTCATGGAAACATTTATAGCTCGCTTGGCTCGGTCAGCGTTTAATTCGCTAATTGCTAATGCGGCCCAAACGCTTATCAAATTGGAGCATCGCGTCGCAGACTTTTATTTAGCTCTATTCCTTCTCTTTTTTTTTTGTTGGTTTTTTGGCTACTGTCTGATGTCTTCGAACTGGCTTTAGCCGTTTTGCCATCGGCCGGTGTTTGTTTGTTTTAATTTAGCTACACATTTTAGTTCAAATATTTGATAAGCGGCCCGCCAGCGAGGCTGGCATTTGCGTAACTTTTCGGCATTACTCATACGCCCCGTTCAACTCGTCCCCCCCTCTCAACGGTGTTGCGGTGTTGACAGTGGGAATTGCTTCCGCCGCCAGCTAGAAATAATACTTCGTCTCGACTCGTGCACTACAATTCCGCATATTTGTTATGTATTTATTGAACTATGAACGTTTCTTGCATTTTTAATTGTCATCTTTAGTTGAAATTTTCGAATTTTGCTCGTAATTTCATTTGAGCTGCCAGGTTCAATAAACGCTTAATGCGCTGCGGAGGAGTTGTTGCTGTTTTTTTTTCAGTTTTTTTCATTTTTTTTTTTTTATAATCGTTTCAACATTTATTTAAATTTTTATTGTGCTTTGCACTCGGCAAAGTTCAGCGACAATATCGATGGAAACTTTTGATAGGTCAATAAGTCTTTTAATATGTAATCAGTTACTAAGCAGAGGGAGAAAGATTGTAGTTATGGCTAGACTAGATAGAGCTATGCTGGATATAGCTATGTATATATAGGAAATTGCCTTATTGCTAAGTAATTCATAATAATTAAGCGATAAATTCATTCAAGATGATTTTTTGTTTAAGAGTGTTAAAGAAACTATTATTTTGTTGTAGAATGGAAACAATTCTTAAACAGTTCAATTCATATTTATGTGCAAATATAAAATATTAGCTGAATAATAATAATTATTATATAAAAGGAAAAGTATTCAAGTGAATAGCGAACAAAATAAGTGCAGACTTGCTGACTTCAATTGAAAGTGTGCTTCAAGTTAGTTGCATAAAGTGCCGGCTTTGTTTGCCATTCACAATTCAAAGTTGAACTTCTTTTTTAATGCTCATCACTATCATTTGCACTTTAGATTTAGTGCTGGCCGATCAAATGGCAGCAAAGTTGCCCTCATTTATGCAGCATTCCTGTTTGCACAGCCCCCGGACAAACACACACTCTAAGTGGGGCACACACACACACACACACACACACCCAATCTAACTCAAACTTTCCAGCTGGCGCCGCACACAATTCGACACCCGCTTGCAGCAGTTGCATTTGCTGCTGGGTTGCTGGTTTGCTGCTTTGCTGGTTGCTGCTTGTGGCAAGCATTGCCTCCACATTGGAGCCAAGTAGTGAATGCAACTTTTGACACCTCCCATGGGGCATAAGCAGCAGCGCCAGCCAACTGTATTTTCTATTTTTTCCCCCTTTTTTTTTTATCTAATTAGGTAGTCAAAATATACAAAAAAGAGAACGCTTCTATGTGTTGCAAGAATGTGTGTGTGTGTTGCAAGTGTGTGTGTGTGTGTGTGTGTTGCTTGTGTGTGTAAACTAAACTGTGTCACTAAACAAAAATCCGGCGGAGACTGAGGAGGCAGGCAGCAAAGCGCTCAACTTTGCGCTGCTGTGCCCAGCAAATTGTGTCAAACAGATAAAAAGTGTTGATGGAGACGCAGCTGAGAGGCGGATGCGGGCCGGGGTGGGGCCGGGGCCGGGGCCGGGGTTGGATGACTGTCTATGGGCCACTCCTTCGGGGCACACAAAGCTAAAGTAGAAGCAGCAGCAGCAGCAGCAGCAGTTATGATTATAACCTCAATTCCCATGCGCTTGACGTGTTTAGTGGAGAAAACTGGCCCGAAAATTGTGGAGCATTTGAATAATTTTACAAGAATGCAATAAAGCAACACACAAAAAAAAAAAAATATAAAAAAAAAAATAAAATAAATAAAAGCAGAGAGATAAAAAGCGGCTAAAAAAAAAAACAGTGTCCAAAGTAGGCGGCGACGTCAAACGTTGATTTAAATGGCACCCAAAAAGTCAGTCATGGAACGAGAAGACAAACAGACACACACAGAGAGAGAGTGAGACAGACAGACGGAGGGAGCGAGAAAGAGCGAGAGGGGGGGGGAGACGTTCAGATGGATGGACAACTATTCAAATTGAGGTCATTCATCCCGCTTCGTTGAACGCGCTTAAGTGAATTATATGTGTACGTAGCTTGTAGCTTGTAGCTCGTAGCTTGTAGATACTCATGCCACGAGTATCTGGGAGATACATGTGAGCTAACTTACAACCATATATTCACATAGCAGCGATGCTAGAAGGGGTGCTGGGGGTTTTTGGGTAGCATTAAAAACTATTTTTGTCATCGCTGTCAGCGAGGCGATAGCCACAGATAGAAAGATAGAGAGAGAGAGGGTCAGAGATCTGTGCCACAACCATTTACACCTCTTCAAAAAGCACTCAACCCATTTTTGAATGTATGCTTAAATGGGGAAAGCCTTTCTCTAAGCCGCTTAACATTTTTTGGATTAACATGTTGTACACAAACACACACAAACACACACAAACACACACACACACACACACATAATGAACACGTTAATTGCTGACAATTTGCCGTTTAGCTGTGGCATTTCTGGCTGATTGAGCGGCCAACATTCAAATCTATCTAAACGATCCATTTGAAGATCGTTCAACGCCCTCAGCTTGATATCATCATCAATCGCACGCACTTTACTATATATATCTAAATACATACATATATATATGTATTTATATATTATTCGTTCGTTGTTTTTTTTTGGGTTCAATTTGTATGCGAATTTGGACTTTCGTCTGTCTGTCCGTCTTTCAGTCTTTCCGTCTGTCTATAACTCTTTTGGGGCGTCTCTTTGCGTTCTTTGGGTTCGTTTCGTGCGTGTTTCATTTGCCTTTTTTCTTGATATGGGAGTAGGTCAGTTCAAAATTTGCATATATGCCTTGACTGATTTTGATTTCTTGTTGATTTTTTATTCATATTCGCTACACACACACACACACTGTGCTTCGACTTTTACGGCCCCGCCCAGTTGCATTTATTGACTGATTAAGGCAAAGAAAGAAAAGCACAAAAAAAAAACACACACCTTGCCCCTTCGTCGACCCACTTTGTGGGGAGAGAACACGTGGCAAAGTGCGGTCGTCGCCGTCATCTAAGGCGATTAGTCGCCGACTCTCGCAATTTGTTAGGCTTTGGCCAAATTTGTGCATTTGGCTTTGTTTGTGGCTTTTCGCACAATGCGTGGGATTTGATTTTTGGTTTTTGATGTGAAAAAGGTCGCCGAGTGCTCGACAGACCGCAAAATTAACTTCAAGTGGCTGTCAATGACCAGTGGCAATGTGGCCGCCCTAAAATCAAAAAGTTTTCAATTCATGGCCCAACTTAAAGATCAATTTGCATTCATTCAATTTTTATTTTTGATAACCATCTTTGGCTTAATAATGTGTTTTTTAGCTACAGTTTACTGCAAACATTTATTATACATTTCAAAGTGCATTTTTCTTATGGATTTCCCATAAAAACACTTTTCACTGTGACACTTTTCTTCATTGTCATCAATTATCTTAAAGCATAGTTGTTAATTATTCAATTTTAAAGTTTAAATTTTCTTAATGAATGCATCAAATTTTATGGCTTCCTTATTAAAAGATTTAACACAGTCAAATTAATGGTCATAAACTATTTTACAGCATAGTTTTATTAACTATAATTATTCCATATTAAATTGTTAGTATCTTATATGCCCATTAATAAGTTTCTCGTTTATATATCAAGGAATTCCGTAGTTCTTAACTCAATCTGATTATTTCTATAAAGTTTTCAAACACAACAAAGTATGCTGGTCAACAAATAGTGCATTATCTATTGGTAAATCACTTTAGCTATTCACTGAAGTCGAGGTGGGTCAACAGCAGAATCAATAAAACTTATCTATCTCTCTCGGTTAGCATTCAGTTAGTTATATAATCCATGTGACTGAAATCCTATAAAATGCCAAAGGCCCAAGTCGAGCAGCAATCAGTTGAATTTCTTACGCGCCAAAGGCAACAATAAAATCCATTAGGAAATCAGAATGAAAATCGGTAAGGTTTTTCAATCGTGGCACTTGTGTAATTTTCAGAGTTAACTTTTCGAAAAGTTTCGCAGCTTTGCCTGCTGCTTGCCACCTACAAGTTGGCACTTGGCTGGCGTCCTGCCACACAGATGTGCGGCATGGATGGCATTTGCTACTGTGGCGGGCATGAAGTGGGTGATTTGGTGCCAGACTGTGAGGATTGCATTGCTTACTACAAATGTGGCTTGAATAGCATCGAGCGTGAACTTTGCCCCCTCGGACTCATCTTCGATGCCCAAGTGATGGCCTGTGTGCCCGGCAAGTGTCCACGAATTGATGGCGACTGTCCACATCCAATGACACCAACGACACCAACACCAACTCCAACACCGGATGGCTGCCAAAATGCTGCAATCAAGTGCGGTTTCCCTGGCCAAATAATAGGACATGCCGAGCATTGCCGGTTCTTCTGGATATGTGTGGAAAACTGTCCGATCTTGGGTTTCTGTGAGATTGGCATGTGGTTTGATCGCCACAATTTCGTTTGTGATTTCCCAGAAAATGTGCACAATTGTCCAGCGGGCAAAGATTAAAATGCATTCAAATAAAATGTGTGTTGCCAGCGGCAAATGACAAAATAATTCACTTTTAACGCTCATCCAACTGCAATTGACTCCACGAATAGTCAACAACAACAAGAGTAACAACAATAATAACAATAATAATAATAATAATAATAATAATAAAAAGAATAATAATAATAATGACAATGTGGCGATAATATACGCAAATTGCTTGACACAATTTTTGTTGCTACTTTTTTTGTTGCATGCTGACTGACTAGTTTTGTGGTGGGCGGCTGCTCGGCGGGGGTGTGGCAGCTGTGCTGTGTGTGGTTTCTGTTGTTGTTGTTGTTGCTGTTGTTATTATTGTTGTTGCTGGCAAGCAGCAAATTTAGCACGCAACTAACAATTTTAGCTGCTCCACATAGAGAAACTACCACCAACCCAGGCGCACACATATCAACACACACACACACACACAGACACACACACACACACACAGACACACACACATCGACACACCTTAGCGCAAACAAAAGCAAACAAATTGAAGAAATGGTTAAAGCACTTAAACAAGCCGACATTTGAATACCCTTAAACACTAGTTTCTGCAGCTAAGCAAATGGAAACAGTTGCAAGATATTCACTGCCTCAAATTCTTCAACATTTAAGCAATTTTTTCTGATTGATTTGGCATCTAAGTGAAGACTGATTGCATTTTAATTTATTTATTTATTGTTTACTAAGAACATGCAACAGTTCTTCAAAGTCTTTAACAAATAAACACTTAAAACTCAATTTAAAATTAAAATTCAAAAGAAGAAATGAAACTATAAGTTTAAAATTAAATAAAAAATTAAATACAATGCAGGATATAGTAAATAAATAAAACATGCATTGCAAGGACTGACTGAAAACCCAGAAAAAAATCACAATCAGACCAAAAATCTAGAAACACTTTCATTAACCTAAATTCAAATTTTGTTTTGTGTAGTTTGCCGCACTAAAGACAGGAATACAAGTTCTTAAAGCAATCAAGCATTCTTAAAATGCATATAACATTTATAGAGATTGATTTAATATGTCTTTGGCCCTTTGGGAGTCTTTCTGTTTATGGCTGCAACTACAACTCGTTTCCCTTTGCTTTAAGTGGCACAGTGGAAATAATCATGTCGAAAATTGCAGCAACTATCAAATGCTGTCTGTTGAAAATTGTGCTAGTAAAAAAGGAGATTTGTGGATAAGCTGTCAAAGCGAGTGACATAGTTATAGCCACCCGATATTGCAATAACTGCAATGATACACAAAAGTTGTTTATTCTTTTTGGCAGCGGCAACAGAAACACAAACAAACTTTCACCCAACTAAGCCGCAGCATTTTGGACAATTTCGTAACTGGGTAAACATATATATAAATATATATATATATACATGTGTGCATGCAAATGTGGAGTGCATAAAGTGCAGTCGGGCGACAGCAACAGCAACAGCAACAATAGCAGCAGCAGCAGCAGCAGCAACAGCAGCAGCAGCAGCAGCAACTGCGACAGGTGAATGAACGACCTCAAACGAGGTCAGCAACAACTATGGGCCAAATTATGCCGGTGCTTGTGGGAGCCAGCGCAAGGGGCCGGAACCGAGGGCCAGGCCCGGGCTCATTCATGCGCACAATAAAACCAAAAAAAAAAAAAAAAAGAAATAAAACAAAAAAATCAACTATAAAAAAAAACACACACAAAAATTAACTATGTATGCAGTATGATTATGTGTATGCTTTGACTACTGCTGATGTTGTTGTAGTTATTGTTGTTGTTGCTGTTGTTGCTGTTGTTGCTGTTGTTGTCGGACAGTTGATGGCTTCAGTTGGCTGCAGTTGGCTTCAGTTTCAGCTTTAGCTTTAGCTTCAGCTTCAGCCTCGCATGCTAATGGTCAAAAGTGGGCAGCATTTGGGCCACTTTATGTCTGCCCGCCGCTTCACATTTCACAGTGACCCAAATCCCGAACTGCCACTCAGTAGTTGCTATAGATGGATGGATATAGATGGATGCCTGCTTCAATGGATGCTGAATTCAAACAAGTTTCTTTCCCCCCTCTCTCTCTCTCTCTCGCCTCTCTCTCGCTCAGAGTTGGGTCATTTGGCCACTTTGGAGCCATTTGGCTGCACTAAATCACTTAAGATGCTTTTAGCAGGCCGAAGAAGTTTAGGCTTAGTCTTATTTATGTGATTGCTGCCTGCTCTCGACTCTCTGCCTCTCTCTCTCTGCCTCTCTCTCCCTCTCTCTCTGTCTCTCTCTGTATAATGGATGATGTTGACCCGCACAGTTTGTCGAGTGGCAGCGAGTGGGCGGGCGCACAAATGTATATGCTTGAAGGTGGGTGGATGGGTGCTTGAGTGGTTGGTTTGGGTGGTTGCCAGGTGACAGGCAGCAATGTGGAGCAGCTGGCTTGCCTAAGCTGGCACGATTGAATACCTAATGCGGTAGATTATGGGCTGAGAAGCAAAGAAAGAGTCCAGTAACCACATTATTTATGTTTCCCCTGATTAAATGCGACTTTTGTGTACGATTTGTGTCAAATAGTTGTTTGACTTGATTTTCAAATAACTTAACGAAAAACCCGCCTTTAACTCAGTTGCATGGGTATTGATTCAGTTTATAAGAAGTTGGACAGCTTCGATTTAATATTGAGTTTAAACGAAAGAAACAATTTCACTTCAAGTGCAGCCACATTTGGCAAAGATTATTATTATCAGTTTTTCTGTGAATTTCTTTTCGAACTTTCCGACTGATCTTTTTGTTAAGCACCACTTGTGGACAGCTTCAAACTTAGCCTTGAGCAAGACTGGCAAACAAAGTCAAAAAAAAAAATAAATAAATAAAATAAAAAGTCTGCAACAATAACAACAATGGGCCAACGAGAAGCGATAAGCAAACAAATCGTGCATCTGGCTTCAAAGCAATGAGCTGCTAATTGACGACACCTTAAAAATAATAAAAATAAACAGAGCGAAGCCAAATGCCCGCCACAAACAATTAACAGAGTTGAAGGTGGCATACAACATTTAATGTGCAACTCGAATGCGCATGTCTGCGTGTGTGTTTGCTTTTGTGGGTGTGTGCGTGTGTGTGTAGTTATTATGCCATAATTAATTTACGAGCTGTGACAATTAACGAGATGAGCCGCCGACTGATGCAAAGCGTGACTGCATCAGACACAAGGCCTGCGACAAAATGGCCAACAGATGTGGGTCAATGTGTTTTTTTTTTTTTGGCCAACTTAGCCGAACTTAGCCAACAACCAGCAGTAACTTCCCACGCGCGCAAAAGCCATTTTCCGTTGGAGCACACGCTGCGTATGCGCAATTTCTTTTGAGCAACACTTTTTTGAGCCTATCCGTTTGACCAGTTTGCACAACTTGAACGGGCAGCCCAGCTGCCCGTGCGGCTTTCGTCATAAGTGCAACTACAAACAAACTCATACACACTTATATACGAATGTATCTTTTGGATTGTCTGCTGTTGCTGTTGCTGTTACTGCTGCTGCTGCTGCTGCTGCTGAAACTGACGCCGCCGCTGTCGAATACCACAAAAATAACAACAACAACAACAGTGGCAACAACAATACAAAACAAAGCAGACTCAGGCACACAACAAAATCAGTTGCCGACAGTTTTTTTCTTTTTTTTTTTGTATTATTGAGCTCAGTGGGTCAATGTCCCACTGATAAAGTGAGCGTAGAGTCGACGACGCCATCGTCTTTGCTGCCATCAGTTGAAAACCATCAGCAACTGGAGCAGCAGCAGCAGCAGCAACAGCAGCAACAGCAGCAGACGGCGCTCTGTCATTTTGTCTGCCAAAAGGCAAATGCGATTTTAATTAATAAAATATGCTGTGTATTTGGTTGCACAAAAGAAATTTCACGTTTACAATTTTTTGCAATTTGTTTCGTTATTTTTGGTTGAAAACCAAACCCGTCAAGCTAATGAACATTTCAAAAAACATATTTCCTCTACGATTTTGTTTTGCAGTCTGCCAATTTAAAATTTGAGTACAAATTTTCTAGTTGAGATAGCACAAGAATTTGTTGCTACAAATTATATATTTGTTGTTTGCAGTTTTTCATTTGTTTTTGTATAATTAATGTGTGTGCCACTTTTATTGTGTGTGGTTTAAATTTAAATGGGTTTTAGAAACTAATAAATTGGTTTTTATTTTGGATTAATGCCCAACAAAACATAACATGTTGCTATGCTAAAAATATATCATTTATAATATATGTTGTCGCATATAAATAGAATAAGTGTGAAATTTGAACAGTGCCTGAAAGTATGCAACAACTTTTTGCCGCGCATTCGGCTGAATTGTGCCTTTGAATTGTTCGTCTTTAGTGTAGCATACTTTTGTGCTGTAATGATAAATGATTTAATTCGCATTTCAATAAGTTAACCGACATTTCTATTTGTTTCTGCCACTTGCAGCTGTTCGTTATGGTCGCGTACCGAAGCGTTCACGTGAGCTGAACGGCGCCGCAGCAGCCGCAGCCGCTGCCACAGCATCCGCTAGCAGCACGCCGCTTAATGTGGATGAGACCAGTGCCAATAATTTGCATACAAATCTAATACAACAGCAACAACAGCAACAACAACAGCAGCAGCAGCAACAACAACAGCAACAACAGCAGCAGCCGCATGCGAGCAGTGTGCGTGTGAATACGCCAAGTACACCACAAACGCCACAAATGTGTTCGATAGCCTCGTCGCCATCGGAGCTGGGCGGTTGCAATAGTGCCAACAATAACAATAACAATACCAACAACAACAACAATACAAGCAGTAACAACAACAACAACAACAGTAGCAGCAGTAACAATAATAGTAATGCATCATCAGCTGTGGCTGTGAGCAATCATCATCAGCAATTGGTCAACATGGGCAGCAGCAGCGACATGACAATGACCCAGGTGGCCATGTGCCACTCCCACGATCATCACGATGGCCTTGCCGGCACCGCCAACGAACTGACTGTCTATGATGTGATCATGTGCGTCTCGCAGGCGCATCGACTCAACTGCTCCTACACCGAGGAGCTGACACGCGAACTGATGCGACGTCCAGTGACTGTGCCACAAAATGGGGTAAGTGTGATCTCATCGTGATCTCACAAATGTTAAATGATTATTGGATTTGCATAGATTGTGACCACTGTGGCGGAGAGTCTGGAGTTCCAAAAGATTTGGCTGTGGCAACAGTTCTCGGCGAGAGTTACGCCCGGCGTGCAGCGGATTGTGGAGTTCGCGAAACGCGTACCTGGCTTCTGTGATTTCACGCAGGACGACCAACTGATACTCATCAAGCTGGGCTTCTTCGAGGTGTGGCTGACGCATGTGGCACGCCTCATCAATGATACGACGCTGACGCTGGACGATGGCGCCTATCTCACACGCCAGCAACTTGAGATACTCTACGATGTGAGTGCCGTTCCACAATTTGTAAATATTTATTTTGGCTTTGCATTTATGTAATTTGATGCCATTCGATTGCAGTCGGACTTTGTGAATGCCCTGCTGAATTTTGCCAACACACTGAATGCCTATGGCTTGAGTGACACTGAGATTGGCCTCTTCTCGGCGATGGTGCTGCTTGCTTCGGATCGTTTGGGTCTCAGTGAGCCCAAGGTGATTGCCCGTGCCCGCGAACTGGTCGCGGAGGCGCTACGTGTTCAAATACTCAGATCGCGTGCGGGTTCGACGCAGGCGCTGCAATTGATGCCGGCGCTGGAGGCTAAGATACCGGAGTTGCGCTCGCTGGGCGCCAAACACTTCTCACATCTAGACTGGCTGCGAATGAACTGGACCAAGCTGCGTCTGCCGCCGCTCTTTGCCGAAATCTTCGACATACCCAAGGCGGATGATGAGCTGTAGAGCTGTAGAGCTGTCTAGCATCCATGTTGCACAGCCAATCAATTCGAGCAACAATTTGATATTCTACAATGTGTAGTAGTATGTTTAAGTAATTAGCGTTAAACGAAGAGTTGGCAGCATCAGTTACCAGATACATCAACTACAACTACTCAACCATTATACATTTTACCAGATACCGATACCGATACAGCTACAGATAGTTAACTACGACTACGACTACAACTAATGTTATGCATACAAAAATATTTAGCAATGTTAAAGACGTTCGCAAACCCTTTTTAGCCACACACCACACACACACAACACTCACTTACACACACACCCACAATTATAGACTTTCAGATACTCTCTTATCGGAGAACTGTTTCTTTTGTTAATCGTTTGAATCGTTCTAGCGAACTGACTCAACTGCTTGAGTTCAAGCCTTACATATCCCATGCGCAACATACAAATTTATTTATTTCATTGTCAAGCTCATCAAGTCATCCACTCTATTATAAAGCAAAGAAAAATAAGAACATAAAAAACAAATTCCCCAAGTCCAATTCCTATCCCAACTTAAAAAAAAAACAAAAAAACTCGACTGAAGTGCGAGCGTTCAAGTTCGAAAAATACTGTTTATTATTTTTTTATTAAATACTTATTGTATAATTAAAGAACTAATTATAAATATATCAAGTGTATACATATATATATGTATGCATATATATATATATACTATGTAATCCTAGAGTTATCTAATGTAGTTCAAGCAAAAAGACCCAATTATCTTTGCTCTCGTTTTATTGTATCTGCATGTAAATAAATTTAAATTAATTCTTAACATTTAACAATGCTACGGCTTGATTATTATTTCTTTAAGTTGCTACACGATGCTCTCACGAAAATTCGAAAATGAAGGAGGGTATTTAATTGGCTAAAATGTGTGTCCTTCTTCGTTTATTGTTTGTTTTTTTTTTTCTCTTTGGAGCGTGTTAAACCAAACTACGGCCTGTGACGTCACTCATTCGAAATGTGTTCATATTTGTTTAAAATTTAAAATATCGCATAATTTTAAGTGCTTTATTTGTATAACTTGGAACAATCAAATAGTTTGATGAATTTTTGAATAGATTGGTGCTAAATTTTTGTGTATTACGTTTTCGAAAACCGAATACATGTTGAAAAATATAAGCATAAAACTAAAATCATAACATATATCTTAGAAAAAAAAACAAAAACAAAAAATAAAAAAAAATCGAAAAGCTTCAATGTTGAATTTATATAGAAGATTTTGTAAATTTTATTAGTGTGAACAAAAAATAAAAACAAAAAACAAAATACATATTATAAAAATATATAGTGGGAGCTACGTACAAGGCCTAAATAAATGCTAGAATTGGCGTAGCGACCGTTTTATGCTCCATGTGTACCTTTCGCTTATTGAACTTAGAATATGTATCTAAAATTTGCAATATCTTAGTAAATACACAACCAACTCAATGTTCTAGCTGCAGACTACGATCCATGCTTTATCCTAAATTCATTTCAAAGCCCAGTAAGGACCCAACAAAAAAGAAAAATAATAGAACCTTTCCGAAGGTAGCTATAATATTTAATTTAATTACTTAATTAAATTATACAAGTACATATATATATATATTTATATATATAAATATATATTTAATCAATAGATACAATTTTTTACCTACTGTAGCTTTGATTACATTTTTCAATGATGTGTCAAATTTTAAATGGTATTTATATGGTTAGAGATACAAACAAGCATAAAATACTCCAAAAATCAAGCATTAATAAAAGATCAACATCAAAAATGTGTATAATGTTTATAAACAAACGTCGACTTCCTACAAATGACAAACATAAAATCTCTCGCTCGTTTCCAGTTAGTGTTTAGGACTCCATAGTCTACTTATAAACCAGATCAATTCAACATGCATATGGATGTTATATATATTTATATATATAGATATCTAAATCGCTTTGACATTAACTAAACAAGAGCACAACTATATAATTTTAATAGTCGCGTATGTCGACTATCATATTATGACCAAGCAATATGTATTTATGAAAAATGCAAACCACTGGCAAATAAAGCAAATAATACTGAAAAGGAAAAAACCACAAACAAAACCCATAAACAGAACCGGTTCAAGCAAGTTCTTCAACCCTTGAATGCCATCAATTTGATTTGCATGGAAAATTTTAAGATTTATCTAGTATGTGGGGCAGATAATCAAGAATTTGTATACTATATACTATATCGCTTGTCCACCATTTGCTTTCCTTAAGCAAACCACAAGTTTTCTGTCTACATGCCATACAAAAAAAAAAAAAACAAACAGATATATTAAAAATCGTTTACTATCAGCTAAACATTAAATATAAATTATATACATATAAAAAATCAACAGTTTGCTTGACAAAAGTAGATAAGAATACATAAAAGTGAACAACAAACGTGAACAAAAAACAAACTAAATAAATTGCAAAACAAGAGCCGCAGATTGTAATAAAATTACAGAGAAGTACTTGAATGCAAAACAAACAAACGTCTTTGAATAAACTGAATACAACATCCACGTCAGCAGTGTTCTACACACATCTATGTATATGTATATATCTATATATATATCGGTATATATGTGCATACACATGCACACGAGTTTTATTTCTCATTACAATGGAAATGCCTGCAAGTTACTTTGGACGCATAATAATCAAATGCTTTTTGGGTTAGTCATATTTGTAGTTGTAGTAGAAAGGCTGGCAGAGATCAATGCAGCCTAATCGTCTCGTGGTTGTGGATAAAACTGTGTCAACACCTTGGCCAGCTCCTGGGCCAGTTCGGGCGTGGCAGCGGCCAGTACGCGTCGTGACATTATATCGAATTCACCACCAGCTGGATCAATGACAACGCCGCCAGCTTCTCGCACAATCAGATCGCCGGCACAAACATCCCAGGCATGGATACCCATCTCGTAGTTGGCATCGGCAGCGCCTAGCGCCACCATGGCCATATTCAGTGCAGCCGAGCCCAGCACGCGTAAACTGAACAGGGATTACGTCAATAGTTGAGAATTTGTTGATGCAATTTTGAACTTACCCATGAACTTGTTTGGCGATTTTGGCAAAATTTTCGTTGACCGCCAGCATTTTGGGCTCATCGCGTGAGGTGCCAAACTCACTGGTCACCAGAGCTTTGCCCAGCTCCTTCTGTCCACTTGTCTGTATGCGCTTTCCATTGTAGTAAGCACCCTGACCGCGACGAGCCGTAAATCGTTGCTCCAGCATCGGATTGTAAATGATTCCGATTTCGGTGACTTTGTTCACCTTGAGGCCCACCGAAATGCAGGAGTGGGGAAATGCGTGGACAAAATTCATGGTGCCATCGACCGGATCGATTATCCAGGTGGGCGCATCGGTCAGCTTATTGACACCACCGCCCGAGCTGCTCTCCTCCTCGCCAATAAATCTGCAAGCATAAATGTTAATCAATCAGTTGAGCCATTTGTTTGAAATTTGCCGCCTACTTATGATCTGGGTAATGCTGACGAATGCCGTCCATGATCAGCTTCTCGACATCCTGATCGGTTTGCGTGACCAAATCGATATCACCCGATTTGCAGACAAAATCCTGGCGTGTCTCATTATTTCGCGCAATCAGCTGAATGAATGACTCTCTTTTAAAATTTTCCAGCGGACGTATGGAGAATCGCCTTGCACACTCACCCGACCCGCCTCGGTGGTCAGGTTGTTGATTATCTCAAAGCACTTGCCCAAGTCTAAGCCCTCAGCCATTGTGTGTTTTCCACGTCCGGACATTTACTAAATGCGTGTATTGGAATAATTCAATTAAGTTCGGTCTGCAGTGCATACAAATTTATTTGTATGGCTGTTGCTACATCAGCTGATCGACCAGTGTTGCGTAAGTTTGCCAGATATCGATTCGTGTTGCAATATCAACATGTATCGAATGCAATCGACTTAATCGATTCTAAATTTAAATACAAAACAGAATCAACGGTTATTTATCGTACCAAAATATTTACTAGTTTGCGTGTCAAATTCATGGTGAGCAGCTGGTTAATTGAATTGTGTTAGGATACATTATGATATTTGGACATCCTCGAGACGTCCGAATCGAATGAGGAGCTTGAGTCGGTAAAATCGGTCTGAGCATTGAAATCCTTTGTTAGCGGCTCAGCGGGGCTCCTTGGCTCATCGTCGCGCGGCTTGGGATAATTCTGCACCAGATTCGTGGACAGTGCGAGGGCAAGTGGTTTCGTTGCCGCGGCAAGGACTCGTCGCGACATAATATCCACCTCGCCACCAGAGGGATCGATGACGGTGCCGCCCGCTTCAGTGACCAATATGTTACCAGCAGCCATATCCCAGACGTGCAGGCCAAAGAAGTAAAACGCATCCGCCACACCAGAGGCAACCATTGCCAAACCCATCGCCGAGGAACCAATCGAACGTAAGCTAATAACTCAAATCTATCATTATGCAATAACTTTGTTATTTCCCGCTTCTTACGCATGTGTCTTCTGGATGAGTCGCTTCGTGTTCTCCATGGAAGCTGAGGTGCGGGACTCGTTCATGCCGGAACTATACTCTTGCAGAATCATTGCACCCCGGAGGCTCTCCTGGTTGGTGGTATGCATTGGCATGTCATTAAGCTGGGCACCAGTGCCCTTACGCGCCACATAGAATTCCTGCAACGGCGGATTGAACACAATCCCGAAGGCGGTCTCCTTGTCAATGAGAAGTGCCACCGAGATGCAATAGTAGGGGAAATGATGTACGAAATTCATGGTACCATCGATGGGATCAATAATCCAGGTTGGCAAACTGCTCAGTGTAACTTGACCCGTCGCCGAATTCGACACTGCCTCCTCGGCAATTATCCTAGTCGCATAATACTCTGATTAGTCAATCTCACGCGAATTGATCGCCTAAAACTTACTTGTGATCGGGATACTTTTCCGTAATTGCGTTCACAATCATCGCCTCGATCTCCATGTCGACGCGTGTGTTCAGATCCCTCTCGTGCTCCTTGGTGGTAAACGACAGCCTCGTCTTGTTGGCAGTCAACGCATATGCCCCGGCCTTCCTTACCAGGGCCACCGCAAACACATAAGCTTCGTCCAAATCAAGTTTTGTTGAAGTCGCCTTTACTTGTGGTGGTGGTGCTGGCTCTGGTGCACTCCTCTCATCCTCATCATCTGCGTAGAGTTTGCCCGAAGTGTTTGTGGTCTTGGTGGCGAACTCCTTCGATGGATCGAAGCTGACATCGGTGTTGGTGAACTTCGAGATGACCATTTTCTTTTCTCGCACTTGACTCTTTTCCTGCTCAGCAGTACGCACAGTCGACGGTTTCGACTGAACTGGTGGGAGTCTTGCAGCTAATGGCGGTTGCGGTGGTGGTGGTGGCAGTGGTGTTTGTGGTGGTTGTGAAGCGTTTGCTGCTTGTGGTGGTTGTGAAGAGCTTGCTGTTTGTGGTGGTTGTGAAGAGTTTGCTGCTTGTGATGGGAGTTTTTGGAGTGATTTAGCTGGTGTATCGACTGGTGTCCGTGCTTCTTTTGACGGTTTGAAAACCACAAGATTTTGGGGCTCCTCTAGTTGCGGAGGTTGCGGTGGTTGCTGCGTAGTTGGAGGGCTGCGTTTTGGCGTTTGCATATTGATAATCCGTGGATCCGCCTTGGTGGCCTTGTAACCCTCGAGGCCGTAGTTTGTCGCCGCATTGGGCGACACCAACTCAGGGTTTGCTGGATGATGTGTAATCGTGCTTGGACTCGCAGTCAGCGATTTTGATGTTTTCGATGTTTTCGATAGCCGGCGTCCATGCTGGGAGCGTGCCATCCTCAATTCATTGACCCGCGGATCCATAGCAGTCGCCTCGTGATCTTCGAGGCCATAGCTGGTGGCAGCATTCTCTGGCCGTTCCTCAGTTGATTGCCTGTCCTTATTGTCAGTCGTATCACTTTTCTTTTCATCGGCCATGGCAAGAGTTGGGTGCTCAAAAGCTACTGTTATTAATGTCCAGACCAGCCGCCACCACGAAATTACATGCTCCTAAGCCAAATCAGACTGTCACAAAACCGAAACGAATGTGTTCGACCGAATAAACTCAACAAAACACATCACAAATTTTGACTTTTAAAACAATGCCACACATTTAATGATCTACACCCAGTCAACGTTTTCGAATTGATTTCGATTATTGCCATTGCCAGAATTAAAACCATAATAATAATAGTAAGCTTTCCAATTTTAATGACTGCTAATTTTAATCGATGTAGAAATTAACAATTCTTTATACAATTTATAAGCTGTGACCGGGTAAAGGTGGATCTGGTGGTGAATCTATCCGTTCAGCTGGGCGTGTCTTGACATTCTCCTTCCTTTGACTTCGCTTACGTTTTGGTTTATATTCTGGTTCAGCTTCATCTTCAGAGTCTTCACTTTCACTTTTGATCCAATCTTCGGGCTGATCATCTCCCGGTTCTTGCTGCAACTGAATGAGATCCTGGTCAGCCATATTCGCAAATTCCTGAACAACCATGCACACATTCCGTTGGCTGCTGCCCACGCTGCTTAACCTAATGAGAATTGGGATGAGGAGTCTGGGCTGGCGTTAAAAGACAGATCAACTCGAGACTTACGCATGTGCAGTGCTCGTAACTCTCTCAATATTCTGCAGCTGAGAAACGGGATATGAGAAATCAGTTCCCAATCCATGCATAATGAGGGCATGCTTCAGGTAGGAAGGCTTGCTGATGCTCAGCCTCGATTCACTGCGTCTCTTGTGGTTAATCTTGTCCTCGGTTATGAATCTGTAAAGGGAAATTCAACGGCTTCACTTTGACAAATGCTATGACAACGTACCTATGCATTGGATAGTGTTTTGAGATGTCCTTCACCAGCACATCCTCGACTAGCGTGTCCCATTCGGTAAACAAATCCAATTTGGACTCTGCATTCTGATTACTAAGCTCTGTTCTTAGGGTCTTGAAACATTTGTCCATGTCCAGGTCAGGCTTATCCGATTCCGACAGTTTCTTCTTTGCCATTGCTGGAGTCGCTGCAGAGTTGGGTGAAGGAACTTTAACCCAGCCAAGACTGCCATTTAGGAAGCCTCTAATTAATACCTGCATGTTAACAACTAATCACGCACGTGGATATCGAAATGATTTGTTTTCAAACATTGACAAGTTTTTGACTTCAAGGCATGCCAAGAGAAATAACTTTTCCCAGTTGAGCTGCCTTGTAAAACTAGTTATAAATGATTGGTTAGGTTAAAAGGCCGATTTAAACACATTGAAACAATAAACTTTATTATACACATATATGATTCGATAATTATATATATATTTATATTGTATATCTTTTGTAATTTACATGTATATATATATGTGTCAAGCTATATAAATTGTGTGCAATCGCTTCGCTTCGACACTGTAAATATAACCCACATTTTTACAATCAGACATGATCAATCATCATCAATAAAGTTTAAGAAGCACTGGGTTCCATTCAATCTCTTCGATTCTCTAACAAACTTCTTCGATAACTAACAATAACAATACTTACTTATGGCTTCGGTTTCGACGAGTGTTCAGCAGCTAATCGGGTAGATAGATTCAACCAAACATCGAGCAAAACTGGCCTAACAATAATATGATATGTATATTTGAGTTTTTTGCAGCAGTAACTTCAATGATATGTTCTCGTTGCAGAAAGTCTTTGTTTGACCCTATATAGCACACACACAGTTGTGTGTAAATCCATTAAATACATATATATATATATATATCTATATCAAATTAGTAACTAGGAATGTTCATAGGCATTATGCAACATTGATATGTATCGTTCACAATCTTTTTAAAAACTAACAAAATCGCTCCGAACAACTAGTAACATTTCGCAATTGTGGTTTACAGATCGCTAATATTGATTGGAGTGGCTATCCGGACTTACGTGTTCCTTAACTGGTGCTGAAAATAAGTCATAAGTCAAAGATCAACAGATAACGAAAACTACCAAAACTGGACTACAACAGAATTGAACGCTATAAGTGAAAAAGTATAAATGTGATAAGTGTTTTTGTTTGGATATTGGTGAAATTGTGTATATATATTTTTATGTATTTGTTTTTGTATTCAATTCTACTAAAAATACATGAATAATCGATAATTAAATTTGTATCACAACGAATTTAGCAAGAACTTAGGCTAAGACTACAACAAAGAAACGAAATGAATTTGGGGAACAAATGTGCGTGCTCAGCATAAAATTAACTACATATTATATATAAAGTTTTGTTTTTTTCCTGTTCTATACGTTACAGAAGAAAACCAATATTGACACATTGAAAATATCAACATATACAAGTCGTATATCAAATAAAACGGGGATGTAACAATTACTTACGCACACAACTTAAAAACTATGTGGAATATTCGTAAGCCCGGACTTTCATTTGGGGGTTAGCATTAGGTATTATGTAGGTGTAAGGGGCGAGGGAGGAGATTTACAAGATTCACGTACTTATGCATACGTATATATCTATATATATATATACATATAGGATATAAACCGGTGAAGTGCCAGCCTAAATGCGTTGGCTAAGTAGAGAGAGAGAAAATGAGATTTAGGGAGCAAAAGAAACTCATGCGGCTATTCAGAAGCGAATCCAATGGAGTAACTCTGGCACTTGTTCCATTTACTTGGTCTCTACGGGACGATTGGCGAACAGCTGCTCCACAATCTGCTCGTCGGCCAGTGTGGATGTGTCGCCCACATTGCGATCGTTGACAGCAATCTTGCGCAGCACACGACGCATTATCTTGCCGGAGCGCGTCTTGGGCAATCCGGGTGCATTTTGGATGACATCCGGCTGGGCAAAGGGTCCGATGCGTTCGCGCACCATCTTCTTGAGGTCGGCAATTAGTTTTTGATCGAAGGGCTCATTCTCATTGGGCGTGATGAAGCAGTAGAGGCACTCGCCTTTAATGGGATGGGGTCGAGAGACCACAGCCGATTCGGCGACACGTGGATGCTCCGTGAGAACAGACTCCACCTCGGCAGTTGACATCAGATGACCGGACACGTTCAACATGTCATCCACGCGGCCAGTTATCCACAAATAACCATCAGCATCGCGACGGGCACCTAATGAAAAGAACAAAAGTAATTTATTGATGAAGATTTTCACTTGAATCCATTTGAACTCACCGTCTCCGGTGCAATAGTAGCCCGGGAACTTGGAGAAATATGTATCCTCGAAGCGCTCATGATTGTTGTACAGAGTGCGCATCATGCCCGGCCAGGGCTGCGAGAACACCAAGTAGCCCTCGCCCTCGCCCTTGATCTCAATGCCGCACTCGTCCAGCAGCGTGGCCTTGACGCCAAAGAACGGAAACGACTGTCAGAGAAATTAAGATGAATTATTTAAATCAATCGCTAAATGACGTATGCGACATACAGCAGCGCCCGGCTTCATGGGCGTGGCACCTGGTAGGGGCGTAATGACATGTCCACCAGTCTCCGTTTGCCAGAATGTGTCCACAATGGAGCACTGCTCCTTGCCAATGATGCGGTAATACCACAGCCAAGCCTCCGGATTAATTGGCTCACCAACGCTGCCCAAAACCCTAAGAAATAAATAATAATAAATATAATACGAAGAATAAATTTGTTAATTCAGAAACATACTTGAGTCCGGAAAGATTGTGCTTGAGCACCGGAGCATCGCCAAATTTCATGAGCGCCCGAATCGCTGTGGGAGCCGTATAAAATTGGGTGACCTTATACTTGTCGATGACGCTCCAGTAGCGATCATTGCCCGGAAAGAATGGAGTGCCCTCGAACTGCAAGGGAAGATCAATAAGTACAAATATGGCTTTCCCAGATAATCCCGTGATAACTTACGATAACCGAAGTGGCGCCATTGGCCAGTGGCCCATAGACAACGTAGGTGTGTCCGGTGATCCAGCCGACATCGGCCGTGCACCAGTAGATGTCACCGGGCTTGTAGTCAAACACAATCTTGAATGTGGTCGCCGCATACAGAAGATAGCCAGCTGTGGTGTGGAGCACACCTTTGGGCTTGCCGGTGGATCCACTCGTGTAGAGCATGAACAATGGATCCTCGGCATCCATCCATTCGGGATAGCAGGCGGGCTCCTTGTCCTCCATCTCCTCGTGCCACCAGTAGTCGCGATCATCGGTCCATGGAATGTCCTGCTCCACATGATTATCCTGGCAGGGTGTCACACGCTTCAGATGCGACACCACAATGCACTTCTCCACCGAGTGGCCCATCTCCTCGACCTTTTCCAGTGCCGTATCGCACAGGGCCTTCAGGTACAGCGGTTTCTCGCCCCGCCAAGCCCCATCGGCCGTAATCAGCAGTTTCGCCTTGCAATCGAACATCCGCTCCGCCAAAGAATCGGGCGAGAAGCCCGCAAACACAATCGAATGGACGGCGCCGATGCGAGCGCAGGCCAGCATCGCAATGGGCAGCTCCAGGATCATGGGCATATAGATGGAGACGCGATCGCCCTTCTGCACTCCATGATCCTTCAGCACGTTGGCGAAGCGACAAACCTCTTCGAGCAGTTTGCGGTAGGTGAGTCCACGTGAATAATCATCCGGGTGATTGCCCTCCCTGCAACAAAAAGCACAATGCGGAAATTCATTAATATTAATCCACTGGCAATTTGCCCAGCTCAAGATCAGCAACCCCCCATCTGAGGCATGTTGCAAGACAAACGCCTACGATTTGCCTCAATTGGATCACTTACGGAGCAATTTGGTGCTTCCTAATTGTCAACGGGCAGCTCAATTTGAATTTGCAACATAATTTGCTCATTTACCGATTTGATAATGTCGTTTACGGACACTGTGGGCGCCAATTGTGTCTATCCACTCCCCTCCCCACACTTTTGCCTCGAATGCGTTTCCTTTCTCTTTTATTCTCAACTTGGCAAGCAAAGCCAATAGCCAACAGCACAATCGTTACAAAAGTCAACAGCTGCACTGCTATATATATATATATATATATATATATATATATATATATATATACTACATATATAAATATATTATTTGATATACAATCGACGATATCAGTCTGTGTACAAAAGAAGAACATGCCCAATAACATTTTGAGTTTTTAAGATTTATGCAAATGGATTTTAGCATGCGTAAAGTCAGACAAAAGAAAGTGTCTCCGAGATAGATAGATATGAATGTGTATGCATATATCCTTACTTTTACCGATTAAGTCGATGATATACAGAACTCTACCTGGACATCATATTTCATATTTTACACATTAGAAAAAGCGTCAAAGTCAACTATAAAATGAAACCTAATTTTCCAGGCTAAAAAAGAATTAATGATTTAAATACCACTTCTTAACGAGTATAAATAGATAATGTGCTGCTCAATTAAAATGCTCTTTTAATAAATTAGCTGGTTTGTATACTGCTAAAGTGCACTGTATTCCATTAAACGGCTTTGGGGGTTTAATTAATTGCAGCCATACACAAAATGCATGAAATTTAACAAAAATGTAATGCAAACAAGCGAATTAATATCGTGACAAGGCATACATATATATATATATATATATTGTACAATAGATACAATAGAAGGAAGGACAAACGAACAATAATTGTGAAAGCGACTTTCTAGTCTTGGTCTAGGTCAGCTGCCACAGTTCTAGTTTTCCATATAAAAACACAAATTGTAAGCAAGCAAACAAAATTGCCAACTGGCTACAAATCATTGACTAAATGTTAATATGGGAACTACCCCTTGCGCTTGGTCATGCGAAGCGATAAGATTAAGCCAATAGTCAGCGATCCAAAAGGAAAAATTATAAAATTGTCGAAACAGATCACCCAATCGTGACGTCATCTGTGTTCAGGTGCAAGGTACGCTTTCTGTATTTATATATTATGAGTAGTGAGCTGATATTTGTATACACAAAAGAGAGCGATAGGCCAACGAAATACTTTTGAACTCATACGAAATACCTAAATTTAATTAGTAATACGTTTAAAATACACAAATTACAAAATGCGTCGGCCTTTAACAGATGCTGTTATAGTTAACAGCGCTGTTACACAGTTCAAGGCCAAAACATGTTGTTGCTCCGCTTTACAGTTTACGCGACTAGTCACAATTATCACATATTCGACTGTCAAACTGTTGGCGCATTTTTAGCAAATGAGTATTTTATTAGCTGTGAAATGGCGCGACTTTTTCCCATGCAGGCAATGTACGTTATGTATAAGTGCTTGAGGCACACTTGTCACTTCCTTATCTATGGCTAATCAATTTTGAGTCGCAACACGAGACATCAAGATTTCCATGCTGCTTGGAAACTAGTGCAAAACGAGAACACCTTTTGATCTTGAGCGCTGTTGTTGAGGTCTCTGCCAGCAGCGGCAGACAGACGCGTGCCGACGCTTATCAGAATCAAAAAATATCGCAAAATATATGCAGCGACTTAAAGCAGACACAAAAATCATGTGAGGCAGGCCGAAAGACCGATCGACCAGGCCACACATGACACACGCACATTGTTATTCTTATCTAAGCAGCTGTTGGTTCGTGTGTCTAATATAAAGCTTATTGTTTGTTAGAAGTTTGAAGCTGTTGCTGAAGCTTTTCAAAAGCGTCGCCGACCCTACAGTTTGAGGGCAACATCGTACGATCATATTTGGCTAGACAGAGTCATTGACATTGACACTTGTATAAGAGATCGCGAAAAATTAGAGTACTACGCACAATTGTATACTACAATCAGGCCAATTTCAAATACGTTTACGAAATAATGATAATGAAACGTTATATTGCAAAAAAAAGTCGCCTCTACAAAATAATTATATTATGATTGCCGACAAAATTGTTATTATTTGTTGTTGCTGCAGCTGATTGCGTTTCACTCGAACTTCAGGTGTGTCAACAGCATTAACATGAACGTTACTGTGTTGTTTGTTTCGCTTGCACTTACACGCATGTACAATTTCTTAGCGGGTAACTGTTCTCTCTCTATAATTGGTTGTGAGTAATCGGACGATTTGAACGCGTGATGTTTTAACGACCCACATACAGTGCTATTAAAACTGTGTGCTTTTAGTTTGCAGAGCGGAAGCTGCACTTCTTAAATAATAAAAGTACGCACACCGCTTAACATTTAACACTGGCATTCTTCTTCACATTTGCACTTTGTGCTTGTTGCTCGGCTGCCATTTGCTAAACGATTTGACACAGATTGAGGCGCAAAATATTTAATGGCAACGCGATCGATTTGAATAAACAATTTACGCGCCTAGTGCACAAATCGGTGTCAACTTAAATAATCGCTTTCTGTGTTTATAACAAATGCATGTTAAATTTATTATGTTCAAATGTGCGTATTAGCAGTCTTTCGGCTTCCTTTATTGACCAGTAAAAGTTTCAAATAAAGATTCCTGATTTGGATTGCTTTGCTTTGCTTAACTTTATTGTTGTGTGTGTTATTATGAGAATTTTATTTTTGTATTATCTGTTGTATTTGTTTGCAGCGAGCTGTGTTAATTATTGCTTATTACGTGCAAATTGCTCAGCTTGGCGCCTTTATCTTATCTAAACTGGTGAACGAAATTGCGTTCGGAACTTCAGTTGAACAAGTTTTCAGGTGGAGTTAGAATGTAATAATTATGCCCAGACAGATATAGTTTGAGTTTGACCTTGCGTTTGTCTTTCATATATTTATAAATATATACCTTACTTTGTGTTATAATACGATTCAGAATACGAAGCATTTGCATTTCTTTACGCACGCGTCCATTGCTGAACCTAAGTGATAACCCCGCAGATTAGAAAAGTTAACATTGATTTTACATCTCTTTTTTTATTTTTTGGCATGACGAACAATAACAACAACAAAGATTTCGACGAGATTGATTTGCACTTTGTGCTCAAAGAAGACAATCATTATATAATGACTTTAAGACGCATTTAATGGCAATCTGAGCAGGTTTCATAACTTTAACTTCTGAAGAGCACTTTTCAATAACAAATTATACATTGACGTAAGTATCCAAGTAGTACCTCTTCAAGTATGCGCACACAAAACTAATTAGTTTTGATTACAAATTTGATTTGTGTAAGAATATTCTGTGATAGTTTGCCCTTCCCCCTTGAACCGTTACGAGTAAAGTTTTTCATTTGTTTTATTGCAATATTTAAACAGCGTGTGCAACAAAATAGAACTGTAGAAATAGATAATAGATCCATATATATATATATATATATGTATATATATATATATATGACATTGACCTTCTCTCAGAATAGCTGTTAAACCTGAGCTGCTGCTTAAGCAAATAAATTTAAAGTCAGCTGTCAGTTTTCACTTTCTGTCTCCCTCCCTACCTCTCTCTCTATCTCTCTCTTGCTCTATGGGAAGCTCTGTCCTTGAGCAGCAAGTAACGGTTCAGGTTAAACATATGGTTTTTTCTCACTGTGCCTGCGCACTATGCAAAGCTCACCAAGTTTACAGGCAATGTGGGGAGCACTGTCGGTGGGGAGAGAGGGGAGGGGGAGAGATGGTGTGAAGGGTTGCGGCAGGTCGCCAACGTCACGAGCACGTTTCGTAATAGCAAAAAAGTACGAAAATAAAAATCAATACGTTGTTATCCTTAAAGTACGTGTGTGCAAGAGAGATAGTGAGAGAGAGAGGGGAGAGAAAGAGAGTATGTTGCTGCTACAACTTTTGTTTTCATGCGACCTACCTAACTGTTTATGGATTTATTTGGGATTAAAATTCTGAATTTGACTTACCAGTAGTAAGCTATCTGATCTCCGAGTCCGTTGCGCACATTCCGATCTAGGAGATTGTAGCAGATGTTGGTCGAGGCGCCGTCCATCCATTTAATTGAGATTGGTCCTTTGGAGATATTGAAATTGTATTGCATGAATTTCGTGGGATCTGCGGGCGTTTCCCAGTGGAATTGTTTAGCGACACGCGACCAAAACTCCGCTGGATTGTCCAAGGATTCCTGATAGAATTTCGTGTACTCCTCAAAACTGGATATGTAAGCATTGCGGCTAATTGCCGGATTCGGATTGAATATTGATTTTTCCGCTGGCATTTTGCGTCTGGTTCACTTTGTTTGCTATTATTAAATTTTATTTATTTTTTTGATTTGCGATTTGACAACAATTGTCCTTTGCTCATAAATGTATCCGTGTGTTTCCTGTCAGTTTTGTTTGGGCCTCGCGTATTTTTATAAGGGTGTGTGTGTTTGTATTTGTGTGTGTCTGTGTTGAACAATGCTTTCGGTTTGAATATTGTTGTTGTTGACCGCCGCAGCGCACAAGTTGTTGGACCGTACGATGCGAGTTCTGTTTGAGCACTGAGCGCTGCGTTTTTACGTTCTCAAGCTTTTTGGCATTCTTGAGAGCTTTTCGCAACAAGCTTTTGAGCTTTGCAGTGCTGTTCGCGCCCGTCGTCAAGTTCAAATTGAGTGCGCCGGGCCTTATCAGCATCTATGTGCATGGGCTGAGAATGACTGACAGACAGATAGACTCAACTCATCAAATTCTTATCGCAGGTTTTGTTGTCTTTCCTGTCTATAATCAGGTGATAATCGTCACTGGCTCAGCAACAAATTTCTCATAACGAAAATTTCCGCCAAGACGGAGACACGCTGTATGAACATAGACAGAGTTGCTTTTTGAGCTTTGATAAGAGCGCACAACGCTCGCTTACGTTTTTATTAAGAGCATTTTCTCTTTGGTTTTGTCTTATCAATCGCAGTCACGGCCATTTCATGGGGGGCAAGGCGGGGGTCAATAGCAGCAGCAGCAGCGATTGTTGTATTAAGTGTAATATTTTTGGCATTTCAGTTTATTCTTAAAGCGTAACGAATCCAAATGCAACAACAACGTGGTGTGATATTGTGGGATGAGTCTTGGTTTGATGAATTGTTAAGGCAGATAGTGTGAGTACAGCAGGCAAGCTGCTTTTTTTTGTGTGTCAAAAACAAACAAAAACAACATCTAATGATCTTCGTTGCTGCTTAGAAACGTTTTATACTGTTCCTCAGTCATGAGTTTGTTGAATTCATCTGGATTCTGCAGATCGACCTTGAACAGCCAGCCTGGCAAAGTGAGAGGAATTGAATTAATATTTTTAATACATAATATGCTTTTAATATATTCACCCTTATCGTAGCAGCTACTGTTCACCAGCGCTGGCGTATCCTCGACCTGAGCATTCTTTTCTGTCACTTTGCCGCTGACCGGAGAGTAAACTTCGCTGGCTGCCTTAACGCTCTCGAGGGCGCCGCATTCGTCGTCCTGCTTGAGTTGGGTGCCTGCTTCGGGCAGCTGGGCGAAGACAACGTCGCCGAGTGCTTCCTGTGCATAGCTGGAGATGCCAACGATTGCTTGATTCGCCTCCAGCAGCTCGACCCACTCGTGTTTGTTTGTATAGCGACGCTCTGGAAACAACAACAACAACAATAAATTAATTGTGATTACCTGTTGCAGTTTTAGCTGCCGTGCTCCAGTGGCTCTGCAACTGTTCTTATTGCATAAATCCAATTTACCTTTCTCGAGCATGCAGCTCACGTGGAAAGTACGCCACTGGACCACTGTCAGCGGAGTGGCACGCAGCTGGCGTGCTGCCTGTGCACCAAAGCGAGCGAATTTTGTGATGAAAACCATTTTGCGTTTCGAATATTTATTTATTTCTCTTGTAGATATTTTCGTTTTGAAAAACTATTGACAAGCGTGTTTCGCTTCTGAGCACGTCTCAAAATGAAATGAACAGTTTTTAACGAGTGTTCTACGTTTTACGCTTGGTCTGTAATGTCAAAGTCGAAATCTGTCGTCAAATCCAGCCGGCTTATCAATATTATGAATATTTCTAATGAACTTTTTGTTGACCTGCGTTTCTTGGATATGCTCAAAGTGCGCAGCGCAAGCGCCAAATTGAGCACGTAACCGCAGATGGGCCCATCAAATAATCGAAATGTAGTATTTTTGGTATTTTTGCAACAATGCATTGCAGGTATCGATTTCAATTGATGTTTGGCGCGCAGTGAACAAGATTGAAATGTTACAGTAACCTCAGAACTATTATCTCATATTAAATGACGTCGCACATTATCTGAAACTAACAATAATGACAACAACGGCGAAAGCTTTGCTGGGGACATAATTAAATCAGCAGCGACATTTAGCATTAGTTGTCTGCTTCGTTATCAGCTGCTAAATATCAACAAAAACACGTAATTATATGGGCTGTGCTCAAATAATTATAAATATGTATGCGTACAATGTTTTCACAGTTGCACATTTATTGTAAATAGAACGTAATTAAATATATATAAAATAATACGCATAATACAATCTGATAAAAGCTTCAATTGGCAACAAAAATTGTTGCTTAATTTAGCGGTTTCTTTTCTCTGTTTTACTCTTGTTTGCTGGCTTAACTGTGGCGCGAAATATTTGAGAATTATATGGATTATTATGAAGAAATGCTTGTGGCGCCGTTTCTGATTTAGTACTGATGATGGCGTAAAATACCATTCGGATTGGGACTGGGCTGTGGCGAGTAGTCCGGCACCGGGAACCCGGCGGTGGCCACAACAATCGTCTCCTGCATAGGACCCTGCGATGACTGGCGAACGGGTCGATTGCCCTGATTGGGTTCCGGATACTGCTGGAAGGCGTCCAGGTTGCGGAAACGGCGCTCCAAAAGATTTGCATCTCGGGACATGTGCGCAGCTCGGACAATCGCCTCCTCGTTCACCTCGATGGTCTCCGTCGTGGAGCGCGTGTCCGGCATGAAGGCCCCATTGTTATACGACTTAACCTCGATTCTAAACAATAATCTTAATATTAGTAATGTGATCAGTGATATAATATTATCTGTACTCACTTCTCTGTTTCGTAGGCGCGTATTGGCTGACGGGTGGATAGAATATCATTCGAATCCTTACGTGGCATGTACAACGTATCCTGTGGAAGAGGCAATGTTTATAATATGCAATGTATTTGACAAATGCAGCTGGGCAGAGTAAATGTGTTTAACGGGGTGGCAATCTTGGACAAATTGTATTATTAGACAATAATATGAGGGTCATTTTGCTTATGAGCATGGCTAATATTAAAGAATTGAATGCAAAATATATTTCCATGATCTATATGGCTTTAAATCGCAAAGAATTATTATGACCGATTCTAAAAATTGTTATCATTAATATACGATGGCATGCGTATCAGCAGATTTTTGTGTACCCTTCCTCACACAAATATACAAATAAAAACCATTTTAATACTACTCTTATAAACTGGCAGCAAGTCAATAATTTTCTATGTTTGATTTGATGTATAACGCATTTATAGGGTAAATATTACATTTGCAAAACGAAAGGGAAATCGGCACGCCACCCAAAACATTCCAAAACATTCCCATTCATTATCAGCAAAGAGCATTAAGCCAATTTATCGACTGCTGGACGTTGGCAGCTTATCAGTTAACTATTCCGTAGTATGATTTTTTTTTGTGTACAACTGTGCACCGTGCTAACTTTAGATATGCCGTAGTTGAAGTTATTCTTGGCGGTAATTTCATTTCGCTTACATACCAGCCATGAGAATTTCCAATTTGTTGTCAGCATATTTATGGAGACAACTCATTGATCTTAGTTAGGAAAGGGGGGTGGCTTAGGTGGCTGACAGCATTTATAAGACACCCACAAAATGAGAGATGATGTCATCCCGTGTCTACTCACCGAACCATCCTTATCTAGGCCAATGCGTACAGCGCGCACTATTAAGCCGATGAGCAGAAGTAGGTTGATAAACAGCAAGATGAAACCCTTGAACGCGATGATCATCATGGCCATGGCAGCAACACCGCCAGCAACAAGTTGAGCTGCATTCGGATCCACCGCGCCGATATTTATATTATTGGCATTGTACTGGGATGCCTTGTCATGGAAGCGACCATAGTCGACCCCAAAGATGACACCTGCTGTCACATCCATGGCACAGATGGCGGCCACAAAGAATGCCCAACTGTAGATGACGCCAAGCGTTTGGCTTACATTATCCTTGCGCAGACCTGCAATGGCAAAGCAAAAACAATTCAGCGATATCGAAGTCATGCGGGAATCACATCTATCAAAGTGACAGAAAAAGCATTACTGATGGATGATGGAAAGTGCTCGCCATTGAGTGGAACTGTTGGGAACAGTAGGGAAGTACTTTGGGGGTGGCAGGGACAAGATATTGCGAAGAGACCTCATCGCATATCATTATACAATCAAAGCAAGCCAACAAACTAATCGTTTAGCTTTGTTCAAGTGCAGAGCAGAATTAGAATTTGTTTGTGTTGTCTTTTGAATTTATCTTTACATTTAGCAGACTGATAAAAATAAAAATGCTATTGACATTCCATAAGAAGTAGATAAAACAAATTTAACTTCTAATGCATTCGACCAAATGAATCATATAATCAAGAAATATGAAAAAAAAAACCCCGTTCCGCACAATTATTCAACTTGTATTTACAATAAATCCTCTGATTGATATCCTGAGATAAGTAAATTCCCCTCCCATCCTCAAAAAAATATAGTTAAAATGAATATATATATATATATATATATGATGATATGGTCAGTTAGTTTATATATATAGATATACTTACCAAGCAATAGCACAATGGAAACGATGAGCCAGCAAACGGAAACGCCCAGATAAACACAATCCCAAATTAGAAGCTGTGTGGGATCGAAGACGGTTTGAACCGAGTCGACCATGGTGCTGTTGTAGTTCTCGTAATCGTCCACTGCCATCTTGCAATTGCCATGGAAGTAGACATCGAAGAAGATGGTCTTCACATAAGTGCCATAAGTCATGTATTGGGCTATATATATATGGCATGTGTATGCAATAATCGCAGTTATTGTCAGACCTATCCAGATGATGGCTTGCACCTGCAAAACAAAAAGTGGGAGAGCGGGGTGTTCAGAGGTGGTAATCAGAGTTTACACACGTCAATGGGACATTCTACTATCTCCCGCTGTCTTTGAACTGCAGTCAACGGATGACTCAATTCAATTCAATTTTTTGAGCTAGATAACGACAGTGATTGGATTGGCAGCAGCTGATTAGTAGTTGGAGTATACCGCGCTGATAGCTCCTTCATTTCAGAAATGACCATAACCTACTAATCTCTGGCTGAGATCAGTTCAGAATCCACTCTAGTTTTACTCACCACACCAAGGCTACCGGCCCAGAGGGCCCATGTTTTTAGGGAGTCAAAGTCCTTGATGCCCCTTGATTGTGCATACATTTCTGGTGATTTATGATTTCGTTATCGAATGTGGACACACAAAAATTCCCACCACGCCCCCTTGATCGAGTGGTGGGCGGCAGTTAACGTATTGTTTGCGGCGACGTCCGTTGAACAACTAAAATGGAACCGGACACGGTGAATGTGAATGCAAATGCGAGAATTGTTGTTGTAGCCGTAACATGCGCCAATTAATTAAGCTTGTTTTTGCTTTTTTTTATATTTCCAATTTGCTATTGTAACAATAGTTTATTTTTCGATAACGCACACTTTGCTCAATAACAACAAAAATCGCAATCTTTCAATCGACAACAATAATTATGGCAATGTAAAAATACACTTCTTGGCCAGTTAACTTTTATTTCGAATTATTTTCACATATACTCTTTATGTATATTTATATATATATATATTTGTGTATATATATTTATGGGAACTTTCGACTTTTCGCTGATATGCGTTCGCTTTTCGTATCGTTTGCCAACTGAGAATGCGTGTTTTTGGCTGTGAGCTCCGTTACCAAATATGTATCAGCCAGCGTTGGTAAACACTATTATATTATCGGCGAGCGGACGTTGCTGATAAGCGTGCCTCAATATTGCCAAACGTTAACGTTATCGCCTCTCGCTTTCGTGGTGCAGTTGCCCCCCAAAAAAATAAGAATGCTGCATGGACGGGCTAAATAGAACAAAAACCACGCAACCACAAAGGAATCTTATCGTCACATTTATGATGCATAAAGTTGAATAAATTCCTATCGGCCATTTTGGGGTCGCAGATGAACTTTTATTTTTGAAATTTGCGCGCTAAATGCGCCACCTATTGACGGTTGGCCGAACTTGGGGGTGCAGCCAATTTGCCGTGAAAGTCGTACGACGAAAGTGACGCGTGTCTTGTGAATGAGTAAATTATTTATTTATTGTTATTCGTAAATTAAAGTGACATTTTATTAACGACTACCATATGTTTGCTACGATTCTTATGCGTTCTATAACTATTAAACTAACGATTGCAGCGTAACAACGATTTACAGCATGCATGACGGTCAACAGTTGCCTAAAATTCGTGCTTGAACGTGCATGCCCACTTGAACGGCCGCCATTTCCGCATCGTGTGAAAGTGATAGCAGACTATCGCATAGACAAATATCAAGCCGCATGCGTATGCTAGAGTGAGACGAGCATATGTCGCATTGCAGAATATAACCATTTAACCCTAAATAATACAGCACTCTCGATAGACTTTAGTACAGTCGAAGTGACGCCGCGGCATATTAACGTGAATTGAGCTTCAACAAATTGTTGTTGCTCGCCGAGTAATTGAAGAACAGAAAAGAAAAGAAAAAAATAAAATAGAGAACAACACTGCATGCAAAATTACTTCAATATTGATTTGCCTAATATTAATTGTGCTAGTGAATGCAAGTTGTTTAGTTTCGCAAAAAAATAAACCTATACTAGAATTAATAGCTATCGAGAACCGCACACACAACACACACACATTCACAGCTGCATAGACTAAAATGAACAATCAACTAAACCCAGCCACCTACCGCAAATTTAATAATTTGCTAAGCAGCGGCGCCGTCAGCGTCAGCGGTCCTGGCCAGCCTCGCATATTGAAAACGACGCGTTTGGCGACACCTGGCGGCGGCAGCTCCAATATCAGCGCCGCCTCCCAGCAGCAACAGCAGCAGCAGAACATCATGGATTCGGATGGGTCAACACGCTGCTACATCTGTGACGAGACACTGCTGGCGAATCAGACGCAGACATCGCTTACGGAGATGTGCACCACTCACACATCGACCAAGTTTCCGAACAAGCTCGCCCAGCTGGTGGGCGAGGGGTTCATGGTCATCGTTTGCACCGAGGATTTCGTTTGTTCGCGCTGCACCAATCTGGTCAACTACTACGATCGGCTCGAGAACGATGTGGAACGCGTCAAATCCAATTTGCTCAATTTGCTGAACAAAAAGTATGGCATCAACGAGGACAGCGGCGGCAGCAGCAGCAATGCCGAATCCGCCAGTCCCCCGCTCAAGATGCAAAAGATGACCAGCGGCGCCGGCAATCGATCACTGGACGAAGGTGCTAGCGGGGATTTGTTGCGCACACGCAAACTGGTGCAGCAGACAACGCCAGGTGAACTGAGGCTACTCAATGTAGAAATGAATGAATTTTAAATTTTTGATTATGTCTCTGCAGCCTCGCAGCAGATGAAACTGGGTGGTGGTCAGGGCGGCACCGTTGGCGGCACACAGACACAGGTGCAGCGCAAGGCGACGAAAATCTACAAGTGCACCTCGTGCGATTACAAGACCTCGGACATGCGTCTGTTCAACACGCACTACGAGACCTGCAAGCAGCAGACGTTCCAGTGCAAGACCTGCCGCAAGATCTTCCCCCACTTTGGTGCAATGAAGCAGCACATGGTGCGGGATCATAATACCGCGATGGACAACACTTGTGCCATGTGCCACATTAATTTCGTGAACGAGGCCAGTTTGCGCAAGCACATGGAAACGAATCATGCCACAAATGTGCTTGTGACCAGCACAACAACAATTCCCGCTGCCGCAGCACCGGTTACAGCTGCTGCTGCTGCTGCTGCCGCCGCCGCTGCGGCTGGCGTCACTGAATCGATTAGTGTGTCCGGCACGGCACTATATACGTGCAATCACTGTCAGTTCAAGTCGACGGACAAGAGCATCTTTGATGAGCACATGCGTAAGCATCTCACCGGCAAACCGAAACCCTTCAAGTGCCGCCTCTGCTCGCAGCGCTTCGAGACCCGGGAGGCGGCCACTGTGCACGCCAAGCAGCATCAGCATCAGGCCAACTATTTCAAGTGCGGGCAGTGCGCCATGAGTTTCCCCAAGCGTGAACTGCTTGTGAAGCATGCCGAACTCCATCAGACCGAAAAGATGTCGTCGGCTGGCGGTGGCAGCCAGAATTTGAACACACAGAAATTGCTCCAGGAGACGATTGATGAGGCGCTCAGCGATAGTGTGCCCGCTCAGGGTGCCACAGTTGTGGCTGCGGCTGCTGCCGCCGAGGCTGAGAATAATATACGCTTCTTCTCGTGCAGCATCTGCTCACTGACGTTCATCCAGGAGACGTACTACAATCACCACATGGATACGCATAGGCGTGACAAGAAGGGCGTTACCGCTGGCGGCGGCAGTGGAGGAGGCACCACAGTCCTCAATTCCGCTGCCACAGCGCTGCTCAGCGATGAACCCAGCGACTCGGCCGGCGGCGGTGTCAAGGAGGAGACCAACGAGCAGAATGCCGAGGCCGACATTGAGAGTCTGTTCGAAAAACTGCATTCGGAGAAGAGCGACGGCGAGAAGAACAAGAATGAAATGGTCATCACCTCGCAGGAGGGCAACGGCGGCATTACCTTCAACATAACCATACCACAAGTGGATGCCACTGGCGGCGAGCAATCCGATAAGAATTCGCCCAACTCACAGGCACCAGTCTCCGTCAGCATTGACATGCCGGTGCTCGATCAGGCCGAGGAGGAGGAGTCCCAATCGCAGGGCAGCAACAATGACAACAACAAGGCAACTGACAAATCAAATGCGGCACCTGTTTCCATGCCGAGCCTGGATGATGACAATGAGGCTGCTGCGGCAGCAAGTGCATCCGATACAACAGATGGCAACGCCGCCAGCAGCAAGGAGAAGGCCAATGCCAAGGCGGAGCAAGCAGCAGCTGCCAAGGAGGCCAAGGCCAAGGAGGACGAGGCCGAGGGTGAGGTTGAGAGGCATGAGGCCACAGACACGCCCACAGCCGAGCAGCAAGCGGCCGAATCGGAGGCAGCCGCCAATGAAGCTGCCGAGGCTGAAGCAGCAGCAGCTGCCGCCGGCGAGGCCGAGGCCGTCGAGGGGGCAGGCGGTGAACAACAGGTGGCCATGGAACTGGACGAGGCAATGCAGGCTCAAGTCGATGGCGGCCAGATCAAGTTCATCGTCAATGAGAACGGCCATTTGCTCCAGCTGGATAACCACATCTTGACCGATGCCGATGGCAATCAGATTATCGTGCAGGATCCGGAGCAAATACAGCAGCTGCTGCAGAGCGTCGGTGTGCTGCAATCGGGCGAGGGACTCGAGGGCGAAACACTGCAGATGATGACCGACGGCAGTGGCCAAATGGTGCTCGTCCATGGCGATAACAATGAGCAGCAGCTGATCGATGCTTCGCTGCTTAATTCCGAGGGTCAAATCATCATACAGCAGGGCCAGGATGGCGAGGAGGGCCCTCATGTCATCAGTGAGGATGGCACCCGTATACCCGTCTCCGTATCTTACACCGAAGATGGCCAGCCCATCGTGCAGGTGCAGCAGCAGGTGCTGGAGGCGGCCCAACAGCAGGGTGCCGAGGAGAAGGAGGCGGCTGCTGCCGCCGCCGAGGAGGCAGCCGAACAGCATGCGGCACAAACAACCGAATCGGTGACAGTTACCACGGCAGCCACCTCGGCGACCACCAACACGTCCGCCAGCAGTAGTACCGGCGGCACCGCCGGCTTCTTTGCCCTGGAGGAATTCGCCGAGACGAAAACGGACTAGGACTGGCTGTAGGCGCGGAGCCGTGCACACTACAAAATACCAGCATACGATAAGGAATGGTGAGTCTCCCATCAAATATATAATATATATTTAATATTTGCTTAATAATCGATTTTCTAATTTATAGGTTTTAATAGATGGATGTAGACCAAACAGTCGCTACTCAGGCCACTGATTCTGAACTCTCGGCGCAACATCAAGAAGACATTTAACACCCACAAAAACACACACACATCATACACAACATACGCATTTGATACACACACACACACACACACCTACACATACACATACACACACCACATTTATACACTTAGCTTATGTATTAACACTCCAGTTGACGAACATAACAGTTTTGTAATCGAGATCGATCCACTTTCACAATTGCTGCCAAAGATCAAATTTTGGCCATCATCTGAAATTGCAATTGTTTTTGGCAGTGTATTCATTGCCTTCACTTGGCAATGTTTTTAGGCTTAGTTTTAGCATAAATACAACATAAAACAAAACAAGAGTAAACTTAAAATGTAAAAAAAGGAAACCAATTCATATAAATATAAACACTAAATAAAATCGACAACAAATAAAACAAAAATCAAAATCAATCTTCTAGTGTAACATCCATCCTAAAGAGACCCGATTCGAAGCCAACCAGCGTCTGTAATTGAAATCAACCCCTATTTCTGTACTGAGCCCAATCTGTACTCAGTACTCAGTACTCGAAATGTTATACAAGATAATGAATAGCTGAACACTCATCCGCTTATCCGTATAGTACACACACATACACACACTCACACACACACACAGATGATTTGAATTATATTGTATGGCATATGTAACGATATGCAAATGTGTGTGAAAAACGATAACAAAAAGAAGAAAAGAAACAAAAAAAGTAAACTTAAACAAAGCTTGTTTTATATATTTGCGTTTGGTAAATGGTGATAAAATTCAATTTGCGTATACAGATGCAGATAAGGCAATAATATAAACAATACTATATATATATATATATATATGTATGTAAATATAAAATTAGATGGATCGAATTGAAGTGTAGTTTGTAAACACTTTAAAGAAATACTCGTACGTTGAACTCGATGAGAGAAATTCGATGTTATCATACAGCTGACGATTCTCGATTCTTTGTTGTTTGAATAATGATGATAGTAATTATTGAAAATAACTATATTGTTTCTTTGTTATGTTAATGTCTATGTTTACGCTGAAGTTTATGAATTTTTCTTTGTTTATAATTATTGGCCAGACTTAACTGGTAGTTAACATTTTAGCTTGGCATTATTATTGAACCTGAGTGGGCCAGCATCGCTTGAGCAACATTAATTGGCAGCTTTTGGCAATAAATCTTTTAATTGTTGTCTCTAAGTATAAATCTATTATAAATATTGCGATGGCAACTCGGCAACCAGTTCCTTTTTTATTTCTCACTTGACAAAGATAAATTGTAAATTTGGAGAGTTTCAGCTGTGTTGAAGATATTCATGATTGTTTGGCTTTAAGTAGGGCAAGATACTTGATTAACTAGGAAGCTTTGAATAATGCATCAACTTATTAACTCATACATTTGATTCTCCAGCTAATCTATGGTTAAATATAGCTAGTTCGTATCTGCAGCTACTAAAATTAATTATTGTGCAGAATCTTCGTTTGGGCATTTTGGATTTTGGATTTGGATAAGCGAAGGACGCAGCCACGAGCCAGTTGTGGGATTACTCCATAGGTTGCAGCGACAACAACGTTTGGCTGGCATCGGTGACATTAAAAGTAGCTGACTGGCAACTATTTGGCTGTGTGTGTTTCGAGTGGTTACATAATCCCTCGGTCCAAGACTCGGTCAACACTATGCATTGGCCTCAATAGCTGTCGATCCATATGCAAATGTGTGCCATCAATTTCGAATTCATTTCGAAAGGCGTTCTAGCTACAAGCAAGGTTTTTGTTCGATTGCCATTTCAGACGAACCGAAGGAAAATGTGATGATGATGTAAATATTATGGTTTTGATAAATCACAACTGGTTTTTTTTGTAGATGTAATTTTAATAACCACACATAAATAAATATTTAACAAGATGCCCGTTAGCTGTCATTATTAAAAGCTAGGTGTGACAAGAAATTAAAAGGTGCTTTAATTAAACCATTATGGCATTAGTTGAATTAATTTTATAAATTTTCAGCATTTGACTGCTTTTTTTTCTTGGGTTTAATTACTCATATTATTTTATGCACTAAGGCGGAAATGAAAAGCTAAAAGAGATTGCAAAAATAAATACAGTTGTCGAGAAATTAATTAATGATCAGATATTTATCGACTCAATTTGACAGTTTAGTGGGCTTTTTATATGTGTTGTGCTGTGTTGCATTAGTTCTTATCTTCAAAAACATTTTTCATATTTGACAGCTGGACAAGTTTTGCATTTTCTCTACAAACGACAAATTGAGATATTTTCTTGATTGTTAAGTATATACACTCTACAGTCTGCGAGTTTGCCTATTGGCTTTCAAGTTTCTTAGGTTTGTATTCAGGGTATTTCACCGTCGATCAAACTCAACTAGAATATGCCGCAGATAGTTATTGTTGCCAAGGCATTCATGCCATAATTCAAGCAGAATAAAAGCAGAATGTGGGCGAAACTTATGTATTTGATTGGGATTGCCCGGGATGAGTTGTTCCGTTAGATTCAATATAATTCGAATTAGCAATACAATAATTTTTGGTTTCAATTTTATTTATCATGTTGCTATATTTTGGTATGCTATCAAAGCGGGCAGCTTTTGCTTTGTTGTTCTTATTTTTAGATATGCTTAAGTTAACGTGATTTGCATTTAACAACGATAAACATTAATTCGCATTTAAATTGGACAATTTGCAATAACCATTCGAGTTTAATTGACATCTAATCACACATGCTGACACCTGCTTGCCAGCCGTTCAATTGACAATTTATCTATTTAAAACCGAGTAACTACCAAAGCCTTGACTTGGGCTCATCCACCGCGGGATGTGTTCGTATGTATTCCAGCTGATGTCTCAAATGCGGCTGCTCGTGATCCCCACCCGGTTGATAGCCACTGTCATCGGCCACATAGGTGAATGTAATGGGTAATCCTTCTTTTGAAACATACTGGACGACGCCCACGGCGCCGTGCTCGTTGCCAGCCCCCTTTGTGGTAATCCCATTGGAGGTCTGGAACTCAAAGCTATAGTGTCCATATGCATCGGGTGTCTGATTGTGGTAGTAGAGTGTGCGCTCCACTGGACGGGCAGCACATGTCGCTATCAGTAGTGTGGCCAACATGAGTTGGGGGAACAGTTGAAACTGGTCGGGATTTGTGAGTAACGTGAGCAATCAGTAAATGGAATCGACGAACAAACCTTGACAAACGGGCGCGAATTCATTGTTTACACTACACATACACTCTGTATATGTATATATATTTAATATATGTATGCAATTTTGTATATCATTCGAGTGTTTCGAGCGATGATTTGATTTGATCTGATTTCAACCGAAACGCGATCTGTTTGGCTTGACAGTTATTGTAGAACTGCCAAAAAAGCATTTGGCAAATGCTGCTGCAAAAAGCTGCTTTTATTTAATATTATTCTAATTTCAGTGTCGAATGTCTCTCTCATAGCACACCGCCACCTGCAGTCTCTTGCCAAACTTATTCTAGAAATTTAAACCTCTCCGTACTAACTTGTCTACTTATATGCATATTTAGACAAAACACCAAAAGCCAGAAGTGTTTCATAAATATTTTATAAATATCATGATATATAGTCGCATAAGTGAGCATAAACAAATGCAGTCAGCGCAGCAACCAGTTTGAAATAGGATCCGTTAAAATGTGACCAATATTTGGATAAAGTTCAATTTGGATACCCAAACAGAGAGAGCCGTTTATTAAATCATATGATGTTGTCAGTCTTTTGATAGGTGTGCTATCAACAACAACGAACAGTGGGTCAACATTCATGAAAAATGTGTGAAAGCAAAAGATAAACACATTGGGGCTTGTGGCAACTTCAATCATGCCGCAAATACATAAGTTATGCATTATAAACGACTTTGAGAGTATAATATTAATTCAAAATGCCACAGAGAGTTCAGGGCCAACAAACCCTGTAATTACTCACAGTGGTATGAAAATGTCATAATGTGATAATTTGCCAAACAAATAAAATATGTGAGCTGTCAGATTTGCGAGTATTATTCCGGAATCTTGCAATTTCAGAATCTGGCACGCCAAATGTTAAAGGTGTATTTTTATTACATTTATTATTAGCAAGTATTTTACATACTAATGAAGTCATTTCGCTAACTAAAATAATGATTTTGAATTATTGGCAAGCAGAATAAACGACCAGAACATGGTTAAAGTGTTCAAAATTAGAATTGAATTATTACTGGCATACTGGTTATTTTTATTCATAATAATACTGTTGCTAATCGTACAACTAAGTCCGTGAAAGTCGTCACACGCTTTGGACTCTCGACTGGCTGTCAGCTGTTGCATTCCACTGTACAGTTGGCTTCAAAAGTATGCCGACCCAGGCCTTGCACGTCTGGACCACACCCCTCGAACTGAACCAAATGCATAGCTGAAAAGATGTTTTCACGCTGACCGGTCGAAAATCAATCAGCCAATCAATCAATAATGTATGAGAGAGCTGTGTAACATTAGCATTGTCTTTGAATATGGTTTGTTCAGGTCTTCGCAATGTTCGTGAAAGATACTAAATAAGACACATCAAGGGCAAATCAACATTTTAAATTATAATTTTGTGTGCTTCTTTTTTTGGACGATAATTATTTGATCTAGGTTGTCATTCAAGCGCCATTCAATCTGGCAGAGTTCCATTGTGGATCTTATTAAATATGAATAGTCTTAATAACATCTTAGCCTTAGAATTATTTCAATGCTCTGATTGTGAAACACGAAACACGAAACACGAAAAACTAGAAATATAGTTAGTTAGTTGGTTTTTAGTTTTTGTTTGCTGCGTGTCTAAACATTTAGTAGAAGCGATGCGATGCGGTTCTGATTTCGAACTTATGCAAACAATACAAAATACAATACACAAATGTGCTCAAAATTGATGTGTTTGCTTTTGATTCCAGTTCTCAAACCAATTTGCATAACTGGCATATCACACCTCCCGTTTGATTGAATGCATACATATACATATCTAAATATATATATATATGTATGAGTGTTGTGGTATCTGTCTAAACGATAGAGTTACGCAACGGGCATTGAGAACACTAATCGAAGTGAAACTGAAACTGAATCTGAATCTGAATCAGATGGGCCATCTCGAGTCGCGAATTTAGAATCAGTCGTTCATTGGCTCTGAAGCGCTATGGAACTCAGCTGGTGGTGGGTTCTCATTTTATCAATACGGAAATTATTCGCCTTTGCTCAATTAAAATTCTAATCAAATATTTTTCATATTATATTCACATTTCGCGTCATAACTCTGTGTGTTTGGATTTTATCTGATTTGCTGATTTCATTGTCCATATTATAGTATATATATTCATAAAGCGGACTATGACTATGACTATGACGTCTCCAAGCATTTGAAATATAGTTTAAACCATTAAATAATGCTTCCGCATTTCAGAATCTACTTCAAAAACAAAAACGCATACAAGTTATGCAAGCAAATTAATAAATACTTGTTAATTGGATTAAATTCGAATATGGACTTATGAATGACTTTTCAAGGCTGTGAAATTTAAGGAAGAGCTCAGAAAAAAATGCACGATGTAATTTTTGTGACTTTTGATCAATTTGTTTTTTTTAAGGTATGAAGTACTTGAAAACACTGAATGGCCTTAATAACTCATTAACACTTGGTGGCAATTTGATTGAGTCATTAAGAGATCTAATCTAGGCTGATGCATTGCATGAATTAAATTTGTGGGTCGTAGAAGAAAATTACAAGACATAAAAACTGGTTGTAGAAGCAATAATAATATTTTATTAGTGAGTTGATTGGCCTATCAATGCCATTTAATAGAAGCCGCCCATTTACGATTCAAATTCCGTTGGATATACATAAATATACTAAAATTCTGGTCAATTGTTGTTGGATTCGGAACCAAGAGTTCTTGACATTTCGAAATGCAGTCAACGGTCATAAAGTTTTTGTTAAATAAATAACACTTTGCCTATTGACGGAAATGGATGAATGACCGTCGCGAGCCAAGCGATGCTTCGGTCTGTTATCAAGCATGAAGTTGAGCAAAATAAAAATAAAATAAAAAATTATCGCATTCGTGTTCACAAATTATAAACGAAGCTAATCTATTGACATTTGTTGATGCTTATTAGGTTTTCTTCGATTTTGCTTTGGGCACGCGGTTTTTCTCATCTATAAAGTTGGTAACACATGCTCGACCAGCTGGCAGTTGGGTCTCAAACTTTAAACCTTACACAGCTCGCGACGAGATCGAATTCGAAGACGAATATCCGAACCTAACGAATCAAATCATAGTTATTCACAAGTTAATAGTTACATGCGTGTCGTATCTCGATAAATATGCGAAATATTGTAAGCTTCATTTGACCTTGTGATAATGTTGCGACCCAAATCGTTTCCAGTTTACTGATCAGCTCCTTTCTCGTTTCTCGTTTCTCCGTTTCGTTTCAATGCAGTTGCGTATATTGTTTTGCCTGATGCTGTTGTGGAGCCAACTGGACGCGAGGCTAGTGCGGATTCGACGCATTCGTCGCCTGGTTGGCGACAGTGAACGGGATGCACAGATAACGGATTACCAAGTGTCGCCACTGGACGAGGAGGGCGTTTTTAAGTTTGCCTTCAAGACAAGCAATGGCATCGATGTCCAAGCAGCTGGCAGTGCTCTGGAAACCATTGGCATCTTCAGCTATACCTCGCCGGAGGGTGTGCCCATCGAGACACGATACATAGCCGATGAGTTGGGCTTCCATGTGGTGGGCAAACATCTGCCACAACCCCCACCCACACCCAGTTACATCCTGCGCTCCCTGGAATACATACGCACCCACAACGAGGATGGCACTTTAAAGCAACATGTGCTGTGAACACATTCGAATCAAGTGCTCCAGAAGAAGGCTGATATACATACTTATGTCGCTAGTTTGTCATAACTTGCTCTTGGAATTAGCTGCGCTTATAACTTATGTCATCCACAAAAAAAGAAATCAAAATCATATTCCATGGCACCTGCTAGTAGACGTTGTCAAATATTTATGTTGACAGCATTAAGAACTTTAGAATAATTTATATTTACAACATACAACTGTCATTTACGTCTAAAAATAGCTACAATTTACGTAGAAAATACCAAATGTATATACGATTGTTTTTTGGGTGGATAATGACTCAAATAAATTAAGTATTGTTATTACTTCAACGGCTGTAAAAATATCAATCTGATAATCAAATGGCGTCTGTGCTTGGCTCGCCTCTCATGAATATTTATGCTGAGCTGAATGCGAATCAAATGATATTGTGTTTAGAATGGTTTTGTGATTCTTTCCGGTTGTCATCCTATTCAAATTCTAATGCTATATACATATGTTAATTCAATAACTCGATAAATGCGTGAGTTTTCGAGAGTGACTAAACTATGTTCAATACTTGTTCACTGGGCTTAGTCTAACTAATTGATTAAGTCATTTTGATATATTTTCTCGCAAGCAATAACTGACGATAAGTTTTGTAAATTATTTGAATATTTATCTGAATTAGCGGCTTTTTAGGCTTCCAAAACCCATTTATTGGGCTTCCCCATCAAAAATTTGATGACTGCTTTGAAAAGAATATTTGAACATGTATTTTTAGGAACTTATCTTCAAATCCCATGGGATCTTTGCTAAGTTTACATGCAAGCAGATAAATGGACCATATTGCCCCGGCTGCTGGGGCAGAGAAAGAAAGATATCGAATACGACTAGGAAGCTTGCAACAGTAGTCAGTCAGTGTATATTTATTGGAAATCCTTTAAGCAATTAGCTAATGATTGCTTAGCTGAGTATTAATTGCATTTGATGATTTGGTTCTGCTTCCAAGTTCAATGTATGCCACTTTGACACGGTCCTTGGCACTGGGCCACAGTGAAAACTCATCAATTTCTCAGGCAACCGGAATGATCATTCCAAATGCTGATGATCATATTTAGTGATGTTGATGATGTTCACGTAGGCAACTTAAAAATAGGCAGCCGCTGCTCGGTTCTCCCAATTTCCCTACGGCGACTGCGGCAGCGACTGCGACACTTGTGCTCGACTCTCGCGCTAATTTGCTTTATGATAGACATGAAAGATCAGCATAAATATATCTTTTGGAGACAAATTTCTTTTTCCCTTCACGATCAGTCGGGCGATGCTCAACCGCCTCAGTCTTGCCTTGGCGCTCGTCGGGAACGGTTCGTTTGCCTTTCTCCAAATCCTGCAAAAATAGTTCTTAAGTGGACCACTTAAAAATCCTTAGCATGGATCATCAAGTCCACACTACTTAAATATATATGACAATTTCCAATACGTTCGGATCTGCTGACATTTGTCTCATTGATTAATAGTTTTTAAGTTTTGCATGCGGTTAATGTTAATAGTGTGGAGTTCTTTTATACTTTTATCGCGTTGACAAATGTGAAAAGAATAGTTTTTTTCTACAAAAATATACATAGAAATATATATGCAGATGAAGTGCTGTGCTGTGTGTGTTTTGTGCTATTTATAATGCCGCCTTAATCTTAATGGATTTTTATTCCATCTACCTATATACTAAATTTATATTTTCAGCCTGCTCTCGCCTTCAAAGATGTTTCTGAAATCTGAAATTAATTAATGGCTTGTTATTTTTAAAAGAAACGAAAAAAAAATAAGAAGAAATTGTAAAGGTGTGAAGGAAATAGTTCAGATTGAATACTATTTAGATTATTAAAGGCATCAAAATGTTGCCAGCACATCTTGTCTTATGTGTGCTGGGCTGCATTACATTTTCTGGAGGTAAGTGGGCGTCAGAAAGTCTATCTGTGATTGGGAAATAGGGAATATATTTCATATACAAGAGATTTGACAGCTAACATAAGACAGAGCACCATTTGTAAAGTTTGAGGTACGAAAGTTCACAGCTCTTCAGCAGGAAGCAATAAATAATTTTGGTATATTTAGAATTATTATACTGCCCAAAGCTTGTAACCTTTTCTAATGGGCCATAAACATATCCACATCTGCCATAAAAACCATTTGCTATCACATCTAATGTACAAAATGAGTAAGTTGTAGATATGTGCAGTTTTTATGACATCGTTTTCTTTATATGTACATGCATATATACGTTGTATTCGATGTATCTAGGTTGATATGGATGATTCATTGGCAGTTTGTCTCAGTGACACATCTTTAGCATTATGACTGCCCCCCCTTGCCCAATGCTGTCCTACAAATAGTACATTTAAATGCCGGCCGGAATTTACAAACGATTAACATAAATAAAGCTCGTAAATTTGGGAAGACACAAAAATATCTATGACAATTAAAATTGCCTTGGCAAAACTTAAAGAGAAACAAAAACTATGCGTAGATCTTTACAAAAAAATGCTAGAGACAACAAATACAGAGTATTTAGAGGAAATTGATTGATGATGATTAATATTAGGATTATTATTATTATGGAGATTAAAGCATGAACATTTTGCAGTAACACATGCGGTCTATGAGGATTGTAAGACTCCCCCGCCTGTGGATCATGCCAGAGCTGAGCTGTTCGAGAGCGAGAACATTAATACTGCCACCTACAGCTGTTCAGCTGGTTATGCGATGAAAGGCGACAACAAGCTGATCTGCAATGTGGAAACCGAGGAATGGCAGGGTGAACCACCTGCCTGTATTAAGAGCAAGGGTAAGAGCTACAGTAAAGATAACTCGGTTCTTGATTTACTTGGTAATTAATATGCCTATATTTATGTATATATATATTATTCCATAGTTAGCTCCAATCAGGCCGAACGCAAAAAAAATATGATGGCCATTCCCGAGGAGCCGAATGTGCCCAAGCAGCTGGTTCAGCAGCTCGACTTGAGCTGCATTCAGGCGATGGTTGAGGCGCCCGAGATTAGCCATGGCATAGTCGCTAAATACGAACGACGTCGTCGCGGCAACAGGATCTTCCTGGCTGCCTACTACGCCTGCGTTGACAACTATGACTTGGAGCGGGCGGAGGTGAATGCGCTCTACTGCAGCGTCAATCAGTGGGTGGGTGAGTTGCCCACCTGCCTGTCACGCGGCGAGTATCCCTATGACGAGGACGAAGAAGACGATGAAGACTATGATTACGCAGCGAATTCGAATAGTGCAGCTGAGGAAATGGATGGCGAGTCGGAACTAGATGAGAGTGGAGATCCTGTTGCGCTCCCACCACCGCCGCCACCCGTCGGGAAGGAGGAGCAAGTGGATGAAGTGAGACACGTCGACGAACAGTCTGAGCACAAAGCAGATATTCCTCCAGTTGATGAACCCGAATGGGAGCCAGAATTAAGTCGACCTGATACGGAACCAGAAATTGTGGTGCACGTCATCGAGCAGGAACCGGAACCGGAACCGGAGCCGAAGTTGGAACCAGAGCCACAGCCGGATCAAGGTCCTGTCACCGACATCAACAACATCGTTGTGGCTCCCACTCAGGATCCCTACTCGCCACGAGTGCTGGACGAGAATTGCGGCAAGGACCGCGGTGGCTGCGCCCACAAATGCGAGCGTCTGCTGTACCCCGGCGAAAATGAGCCCCGCCTCAAGTGCAGCTGCAACGAGGGCTACACACTCGATCTCCAGGACTATGCCAGATGTGATGGTAAGTCCACGCAACAATTGAAATCGTAAATTAAAAACTCCAAATGATGCCTGACCCTAATGCAGATATTGATGAGTGCCAGGAGTCGAATGGTGGCTGCTCTCAAATCTGCAACAATCTGCCCGGCAGCTTCGAGTGCGCCTGCGAAAATGGATATCAGATCGATCCAACCACTGGCACCACCTGTATGGGTAAGTATAAAAGAGCAGATTTTCAATTTTTTATAATGTTTTGACCTTTCAAATAATATGACCTTTTTACTTGTTTTATATAAAAACATATCGAGAGCGAGAAAGAGTGTGTGAAAGAGAGAGAGAGAGAGAGATAGAGAGAGAGAGAGAGAGACAGAGACAGAGGGGGAGAGAGAGAGAGAGAGAGGGAGAGAGAGACAGAGAGAGTTGCTTGAATTTATTTTTCTTATGAACAAAAAGACTTTTATAGCTAGCACTATAAAAAGTGGTTAAGTGTTCAAGAATTCCACTTAACTTTTACTATTTATTTTGTCTAAAAAGCATTTGTTTATGAACTGTCAGTTGTACATATTGTTAATGAGTATCATCCAAGATTTATTTTAAGACAAAATTATTATGCATGTTGCAGATATTGATGAGTGCGCTGATCCGGAATTGTCCGCCAAGTGCGGGCATGGATGTGAGAATACGCCCGGCTCCTTTCTTTGTGTGAAACTTTCGAACACCAAGCAGGAAGCGGATGAGGTGGAGGAGGAGGAGGAGCAGGATAATGAAATTGATCCAACGCCAGTCGCTCAGCCAGAAGAAGTGCCGCCCACGGCCGTCGAAGTGGATGTGGAGCCAGCTGTGGAACCCACCGTTGTGCAGCCCAGCTGCAATGCGGGCTTTGTGCTCTCGCCGGAGGGCGACAAGTGCCAGGACATCAATGAGTGCGAAATCGTTGTAGAGGACAATGAGAATGCTGACCATGTGCCGCATCGTGTTTGTCAGCAAAAGTGCAGGAATACGATCGGCTCGTATATTTGCAGCTGCCACGAGGGATTCCATCTGCTGGATGATCAGAGCAGCTGTGCTTCGGATGCCTGTGACGATCTGGACAATCCACAGCTGAATCGCACTCGTTGCGCTCACCAGTGCAAGAATCTCGCTGGTGGTGGCTACGAGTGCATCTGCCCGGATGGATACAGGCTGGGCGTGGATCTGCACAGCTGCGAGGTGCTGGAGACTGTGTGCAGTCGGGAGCTGGGACACGAGCGCTGTCGCCCCGGCAGCTGTGTGGACAGTGAGGATGGCAGCACGTTCAGCTGCCTGTGCCCCAAGGGCTACACCAGCGAGGTGTTCAGCTGCCAGGATGTGGATGAGTGCGCCATGGGCACCCACAAATGCAGTCACGATTGCTTCAACATTGATGGCGGCTATCAGTGCCTCTGTCCACGTGGCATGTCGTTGCAGGAACAAGACGGACACACCTGCGTCTCTCCCGATCCTTGTGCAGTCAATAACAATGGCTGCGAGCAGCTCTGCCTGAGTGCGGAAGGCGGTGCTTGCACCTGTGGAAAGGGTTATTTGCTCAGCTCGGATGGGAAGAGCTGCACCGATGTGGATGAGTGTGCGGTGTCGAATGGTGGCTGCCAGCAGCTCTGTCGCAATCTGCCAGGTGCGTATGAGTGTCTCTGTGCGCCCGGCTACGAGCTGCTCGACCTGGATGGCCTCAGTGGCTACTGCTTCGATATCGATGAGTGTGCCAGTAATACGCATAGCTGTGAGCCTCCCATGCGCTGTGAGAATCTCAATGGCTCCTACACCTGCCTGTGCGAGCCGGGCTTTGCTCTAGGCGTGTCAGCATCACCATCATCACAATCTTCATCTTCACCATCATCATCATCATTGTCATCTTCATTTGCTTGCTTGGACATTGATGAGTGTTCGCTGTCGAATGCGAACTGCTCGCAATTCTGCTTAAATCAGCCAGGTGGCTTCCAATGCGCCTGTGCGGATGGCTTTCAGCTGGCGTCGGATGGCTTCAGCTGCCTGGACATTGATGAGTGTGCTCGGGATTTTGGTAATTGCAGCAGCATTTGCATTAATCTTTTAGGTTCACATACTTGCGCCTGTGACAGGGGCTACGAGCTGACCGACGATGGACACAGCTGCCAGGATGTGGATGAGTGCGATGGCCTCCTTTCCGGCGGTTGTACGCACGAGTGCATCAACCAGCCGGGCAGCTATGAGTGCGGCTGTCCCTTGGGCTATCTGCTGCAGGAGGATGAGCGCAGCTGTCGCCCAGCTCTGGTTGGCTGCCCGCCAGGCACAGAGAAAACGGAAAAGGGCTGTGAGCCCATCGAATGCAAGCTGGGAATGTTGCTCGGAGCCGATGGCAGTTGTGTGGACATCGATGAGTGCAGGGTGAACAATGGTGGTTGCTCCCATCAGTGCAGGAATTCGCAAGGATCCTACAAGTGCGAATGTCAATCAGGTTACACACTGGCTGCCAACTCACGCGACTGCGAGGATGTGGATGAGTGCGAGGAGAACAATGGTGGCTGTGAGGAGAGCTGCATCAATCTGCCCGGTAGCTTCAAGTGCGAGTGTGCGGAAGGCAAGAGTTTGTCCTTTGACGAACGCAGCTGCTATACGCTGCCAAAGATTAAGCCTAGAGTATCAGTGAAACTACCAGCTCCAGTGGCTCCAATTCCAGCCTCAGCGCCAATTGATCCCGTTTGGCGAAATCGTCCCGTTGCTCCCCTTGGGCCAGTGCGTCCCGTTGCTCCCGTTGGGCCAATGCGTCCCGTTGCGCCTGTGATGCCAGTTCGACCAATGGCAACTCTTCGTCCGGTTACCTATCCAAATCAGGTTGCCGCAACCCTGCCCGGCATTGAGGTGAGAGATCAGTGTCCGCGCTTCCAGGCGCCGGCAAATGGCCAGGCACACTGCAACCGATATCGCCACAAGCGCAACTTCTTCTACAACATACGCTGCAATGTGCGCTGCAATCCTGGCTATCAGTTGATCGGCCCCCATATCCGTAGCTGCGGCGTCTCCGGTAACTGGGAGGGACAGTCCAATCAGTGTGTGCGTAAGTAATCAGAACTTAGTTCCATTTCTTCGCCTTCTCCCTAATGCTTCTCTTGCAGCCATTTCCCAGCAACGTCCTTTCAGACCGGGTGCAGCGCGATTTGCGCCAGCTTCGCTTGCATGCCCTGCCCTCCCGGCGCCGCGCAATGGCGTCATCAGTCCCGCCAGCTGTACTCGGGGTGCCTCCAGTTTTGGCTCCTCCTGTCATTTGCAGTGCAACATGGGTTTTGTGCCCGTCGCCGGCCTAATGACTTCCTGCATGAATGGCTGGTCTTTGGGCAGCGTCCTGGAGTGCAAACCTTTTGCCGCGAACATGTTCTTCAATCAAATGAGCCCTCGCCTGCGGGCACCCTGGCAACAGCAACAACAGCAGCCATTTGGCCGCCAGTCGTCCGCCTCTATTCAGCAGGTGCGCAGACAGCCACTTCAAGTCCAAAGAGTTGCCTCGACTGCATACATCAAGTGCCCGGAAAATGTTGTCATTCTGCTGAAGCCACACCAGAGCAGGGCTCATGTCATCCTTCAAAGACCTCAGACAAATGTGGACTATCGTCATGTGAACGCGTTCCCAGCATGGGCCAAACAACTGCAGGGTCATCTGCCCCTGGGCAACCACAAGATCTTCTTCAGAGCTCACGATCCGGTGTCGCAGCAGACAGTTGGCTGCGAGACCATCATCACCATCAAGCCAGCACTTCCCCAAAGTTCTCTACCCTCTTTTCCCGTTTTTAGACCAGCTGCAATGCCAGCCTATAGATCCGCTCCACTCCCAGAGTTTAGACCTGCCAGACTTTTCGATTTTGCTGCAAAACCCTCAGCCCGTCTCATCGATGCATCACCACTGATGAGACGTTCCGAGAGCCTGATTGCTGAGAGACCCGTGGAGAACACAATCGAAGAGACTTCACCTTCTAGGCATTCAGAGAGTACACGCATTGATCTGGGCTCATCCACATCGAGCTATTGTCCGCCCTCCTTCGAGGTAACCTTGAAAGAGAATCAAAATCTGCGCTCCGTCATCTGGGAAGAGCCACGCTTTGAGGGCAAACTTCTAAAGATCTACAAGTCGTCAGTAAGTCATATTTAAAGAGCATTTCTTGACGAACTTTAAGTTTACATATAAATTTGTTTCCTTTGTTCACAGTTCCCTGGCGCTCTGTTCGGTCAGGGTGATCATGATGTGAAGTACGAGGCCACCACCACAGATGGTGTCACTCTGCGTTGCAACTTCCAGATCCATGTCAAGGGTAAGTTGACATCGAACACAGCCCAACCCCCGAATATCTGAAATGTGCATTCCGCCCACACAGCCGCCTCATCCACACCCCCGCCCAAACGCGTCGATATTAGTTACCCGGAGTTCTCCTCTGCCCCCGCTGCACTGATGCTGCCAACGCATAGCAATCTCCTTGATGGCCACGGTTCATATGTGATTTGTCCCGGCAAGGAGCCGGTTAAAGTGACCGACGGCCAATCCGTAAGTTACGCCTCAATCCCACTTTAATTCAAAGTAGCTTACCCAAATCACATTTATATTAATCGCTTGAATACTAATTACATTTGTATTTAATCTATACATATAACTGCAAATGTATCTGTATCTGTATCTGTATCTAGGTCAACCTGCCCGTGGGCTGCACTCTGAAGAACGTGCGTCCACAAACGAAATCACCAACGCAACCGAAACGTGGTCTTCTCACCTCGCTCTGGCGTCAATTTAATCCTTTTTAATTACTCATTTATTACGTATGCCAAATTGTAAAACTATATGAATTTTTGATACATTTATTTTGTGTACTATTTTTGGATATCTTTTGTGAATAATTTAAATAAATATTTTTATTATATGTAAATTCTGACCATTTTGTTGACATTGTTAATTGATTTATTTTTTCTACATATTTTGTTTGTTACAACTGCTTTGCAGCAAGCAGTTCATAAACTGCTTCTTTGCAAGTCTCACAGCTAATAACTGCTTGTCTAAGCATACAGACATGTGAATATGCTTTTAGCACAACTTTACTCCAATATACTGCTTGTCATCCATTTAAGGGCAAGACGTGCAAAAGACAATGCAGTCACGAACTGCTTCGTAGCAGAGTACAGCTGAGCAATCCTTGCAATGTAAGCAGTGCTCAAAGCAGCTGTTTCCCACTCGATTTTATTTTGTAGATTGACTTTGTTTACCATTCTAAGCAATATGGTGTAACAAAAATGGCTGTAACTCGACCAAATACTTACAGGTTTTCAAAGAGCATGATGTGTTAGAATCGCAAGGACCTACAAGAACACAAACACCTCAGTCAAATCCCCAGAAGACAATGCCAAACAGTTTTCCTTTAATCATCAAAGGTCCATATACTCTATAGCTACGTACAGCTATCAATATTTTATAGCTACTTCTGATACACAATGATAACGTAATTAATTTCAGCATTAAAGCTTAAATAATACTTTAGCAGAATTAACCTTGTCATATAAAACAATACCTTATCCTAAGGTTGCTAATAAAACATGATTTGTGTTACGCAGCACAAAAATGTACCAGCGACTAAATAAAGTACATATTTGTTGCAACATTTGGTGCAGTTGCAAGAAGAGAATTGAGTACGCGTTCTACAAGACACGCTCCACACGTTCTCGTTTGTGGCGCCCACAAAAATCAGCTTCGCTGATTGCTTGAAAGCTGATTTTGCACATTTTGCACAGTTTTCGACGGTTGAGCTGGTCAACATTGCTGCTGTTTCATTTGTTGTCGTTGTGTGTTATTAGCTACTTGATAAGCAGAGCGACGCAAAAGCAAAATGCTGTGCCACTGTGCGCTGAAAATCTAAGACAGGTTGCTGAGTTAATCAAAACATTATTTTGATAGCTGTGTTTAGCAGTAGTGTCCAGTTTTGGAAAGCTCTAAAACGTTAAATGCCGCCTTTAAAAACTTTATTTACCACCAATAATTGCCCAGAAATGCCGTTGAACTCGTTTGGCTACAACCTGTCAGTTGAATTTTGATTTTTTTCCAAGTCATTTTAATGTAATTATTTTTTCTACGAAATTCGCAAAAACAAATTCCGACTATCCAACAGCCGAATATAAAAGACCACAAGCAGCGCGTGCTATTGATAACGCAAAAAATAGAAGTCCAATATGATCGGGGCATAGACACATCATCATTAGGCCGACTGTAATACACGGACGCCAGCCAGCTGATAACCCCTGAGTTCGCTATACAAGTATGTATTACAATGTGGATGCTGTTCTCAGATCATTGGCCGCGCCCCGATCTCCGTTTCCCGATCACCCGAGTCACGTACTCGGTTCTGGTGTTGATTTGATATTATTGTTATTATTGTCTCAAAGATTAGCTGTGAGCGAAGTCTATAAAAGCCTCTGAAGAACTAAAAATCCAAATCAGTCTTAAAGCTCGTATTGTGAAGTGTGTTTGCATCGTGTTATTTTTTGTTAAGAATCATCCGTGTGACGTTCAAAAATGTATCAGCGGCAAGTTTCCTTTGATAAGGTTGGTTCACAACGTAATTCCTGTTGATGTCTATATAAATATTTACTATACGTAATAAAACAAATAATTACAACCGATTAAGAAAGATCAAAATATTTTGAATGTATTACAAATAATCATAAAATTAAATCGATGAATTATTAATATTTAAATGAATCAACAACATTTTGAAATTAATAATGCAAAGGAGCTAATTAAAATCGTCAAGTTTTAATTAATTATGGAAACGTATTAAAAATGCTATTACTTTGAATACAAATATGCAAAGGGGGACATGAAGATTAACTAAAAAATCGTTTTGCTGTACGCAATTCTAATTTGTTGTTTTTGAGAGAAGCCTTAAGTAAACCTTGGTGATTGGTTGACAAACCAAGTTCTAGGTTAGATTCACAGCTTTGACCCTGCAATCGAGCATTGCGGTTAGTTGGAAACCTCAACACTAAGGTAAATCTTGGACAAATTATGACCTTTGTAAGCTGATCTGTCAGGGGTAGAATATAATAACCCATGACGTTGATATCTGTTTACAATGTCAAGCTGGACAAATACAGCTTTTAGCACTCGCCTAAATAGAACAGTAGCTGATTGACTGGTGGAAAGCTTAGATCTACTGATCCCTATCTGATAGCAATTGTCTGATTATTGCTCATTATTACTGCATTTGATAAGCGCTCCTACAAATTATGTACTTTCATTATTATTTAATAAAATATTTGTTTTCGCGATAAGCCGACTCGCATCGAGGACTCGGCGTATATTGCGGAGGGGGTGGACATGCAGGAGGCTCGCAACACCTACCTGCTGTTCTCGCCCAAGGACTCTTCGCTAGCCAGTGGCGCCTTAGCCAATACCCTGGCCATATTCAAGAAGCACGACATCAATCTGGTGCACATCGAATCGCGCTCCTCGCTGCGTGTGCCTGGCTACGAGTTTTTCGTGGAATGCGATGGCAAATCCGGGGCTCTGGGCAAGGCCATTGAGGATATGAAGGGGGAGTGTAGCTACTTCAATATCATCTCTCGCGATTACAAGGATAATGCGACGGCAGTGCCTTGGTTCCCGCGTCGTATACGCGATCTGGATCGTTTCGCCAATCAGATTTTGAGCTACGGCGCCGAACTAGACTCGGATCATCCCGGCTTCACAGATCCCGAGTATCGCAAGCGTCGCAAGTACTTCGCAGACATTGCATATACCTATAAGCATGGCGAGCAGCTACCGCATGTGGACTACACCAAGGAGGAGATCGAGACCTGGGGCATCATGTTTCGCAATCTGACCAAACTCTACAAGACACATGCTTGCAGGGAATACAATCACGTCTTCCCACTGCTCGTGGACAACTGTGGCTTTCGCGAGGATAACATACCACAGCTCGAAGATGTTTCCAACTTCCTAAGAGGTAAGTGACGAAAATAATTACTCTGAAAAATGTATATTAAAAATATTTTGATTGGTAGATTGTACTGGCTTCACTCTTCGTCCGGTTGCTGGTCTGCTCAGTTCTCGCGATTTCTTGGCTGGGCTCGCGTTCCGCGTCTTCCACTCCACCCAGTACATTCGGCATCCCAGCAAGCCGATGTACACACCGGAACCAGATGTCTGCCACGAGCTGATGGGGCATGTGCCACTGTTTGCAGATCCGGCATTTGCCCAGTTCAGTCAAGAGATTGGCTTGGCCTCTCTGGGCGCACCCGATGATTACATTGAGAAGCTGTCCACGGTACGTTAATCCACTCTTATCAGACTGGCAACCTTTTGATATGCCTGAATTCCATCCTGAAGATCTTCTGGTTCACCGTGGAGTATGGCATGTGCCGTCAGGAAGGTGAGCTGAAGGCCTTTGGCGCCGGTTTGCTCTCATCCTATGGCGAGTTGGAGTACTGTTTGACGGACAAGCCGCAACTGAAGGACTTTGAGCCGGAAATCACTGGCGTTACCAAGTACCCCATCACCCAGTTCCAGCCGCTTTACTATGTTGCCGATAGTTTTGAGAGTGCTAAAGAAAAGACTATGTGAGTGGTAGATCTAGATGATTTCTTTAAGTGGTTTATTTAATTGGTTTTCTTCTTTGCCATCCTTATAGTAAATTCGCCAACTCTATACCACGTCCGTTTGGAGTTCGTTACAATGCCTACACACAGAGCATTGAAGTGCTCGACTCGAAGCCGCAAATCTCGAATCTGATGAACAACATCAACAGCGAGTTTCAGATACTCCAGAATGCGGTTGCCAAGCTGCGCGTTTAATTCCCTTACTATTTTAGCTTAAGAAATGTTTTATATTTTTTATGAATTGAATAATATGATATGATATTGATATATTCTTCGTAAATGAGTCTTTTGAATTTACACTTTTATTACAACTTGCTGTACATTTTTTCTAATTTACACACATCTTCAAGAACAATACATACATACATACATACATATATACATAAACAATCCTAATTGAGTTTAGTTACATTCGTATAGGTATGTACAGTTCTTTCCTTATAGCTATGCTTACATTTAGTTTGAGTTGAAAGCGATTTGATAAATAATTTAGAATGCGTATTAAGTTTTTAGCATTTGGCTACTCATCGGCTTGTATTGAGTGAATGTTTATCTGAGTTTGAATGTTATTCAGTTACATATTCATTCTATAATTGTGGAGGAAAGTAGCCAGTCCGATAATACACTTGAAATATACAAAGAGAAAATCAGAAAAATCAGATAGAATTTAATTTAATAATCACATACAGTGCCGCTCAACTAAATACGTTCAAGAAATCACGTTTGCATTTTGTGTTACATCTCAGCTTCTATTGCACTTCAATTTGTTTACTTTCCTTACACAAATTACAAATAATATATTATATTTTTTGATTATAATAGATAATGCATAAATTCACACATAACAGATCTTCGAGTGAGCTTCAAAGGTCTAAACGAATGTCAAAGAGTAATTCAATTTTTGTATATACAATTTGAATAGTCGAAAAAATTCTGCTATAATAAAAAAAAATAACGTCGAAATTTGAATATATTCATAGCAAATCATTCAGTTGCAATCTCAACCTGAGTTTTGAAATATGTACTACTTTGTTGAACTAATCACATACAAATATATATATATATATATATATATATACTTAGATTGCACAACAGATGATTTAACTTACATATTAAACTAATTGTTTGACTCAAAAAATCGAAGCGCAGTCTTCAAAATAATATATTTCAATCGTAGTATATATGTACAAGTGATATGATAAAATCTATTGATTATTTATGCATATTTACATTTATATTTTAGTTGCTTTTAGGATTTGTCTGAGACACATAAAAATTCATATCTACATGTTAATTAAACTAAATTGTATCTATTAATATAATTGATAGCTTGGTTCGTTAATATACATGTCAGAGATCCTTATTGGTGCCTTATGGCACTTACTGGATAATGGTAACTAATGGAAACTTTGGGCTGTTCTTATTATCTATCAATAACTAACTACACCTAACATAATTTTGAGAACTTATCAAATTGACAAACATGAAAGATATCTTACAGTTATGATGGGTTACGGTTAGTTAAGGATTAGAACAATACGCAGTCTGTTGAGATCTACAACTAGTTGTGGGTATTGTGTATGTTCAATACAGAGAGAGACAGCCTGATGTCCTGATACTTATGATTAGTCCTTGCCTAATACACAACAAATGGATTGGATAATCGGCTGCCTGTTTTATGACTATCACTAAGCATACAACTATCAGTATAACTATGTTTAAGGAATTCAGATATCAAGTTATATGCCACGACCCCGTGCTGGCCATATGTTATTGGCTGCCGTTGGCCGTGTGCGACGAATCGAACAGATTCTGCGATTGCTCCTGCGACATTTGATATGGCAATATCTCCAGATCGTTGGGCAGCTGACTTTGGTTCTGATTGCCGCTTAGAGATTGAAATGGATTCGAGCCGAAATAGCTGTTCGATTGATGCTGGTGCGATTGTTGCAACAATTGCTGCTGTTGCTGATGTTGCTGCTGCTGTTGCAATACTTGCTGATTATGCTGCTGGTGCTGCTGTTGTTGTTGCTGTTGCTGTTGCTGCTGCTGTTGCTGTTGCTGCTGTTGATGCAGTTGACTCTTGGATGAGTGCATCATTTTGTTGTCCTCGCTGTGCGTCTCGCTGCCGTCGTCACTGATGCCCATGTGGAAGTTGAGCGAAGGACTCGACTCGGTGGTCATTTGCATGTAGGACAACAGCGAATCCTCATTTGTATTTTGTGGCGCATTCGAGATGTTGTTGTTGTTGTTGTTGTGGTTGCTGCTGCTATTGCCCGTGGTATTGTTGTTGTTATTATTGTTGCTTGCAAGCGGTTGCAGGGGCGATAGATTGAGAAATGCATCAATATCCTCCATATCCTCACGCGACAACATGTTGCTCTGCGACTGCTGCTGTTGCTGCAATTGCAGCTGCATTTGTTGCTGTTGCAGCTGCTGCTGCTGCAGCTGTTGAAATTGTTGCTGTTGCAGCTGCTGCTGTTGCAGCTGACTCTGCTGTTGCTGATGCTGTTGCATATGATGATTGTGCTGCTGCTGATTGTGCAGATTCTGCTGCTGTTGCATCAACATCTGCTGATCCTGCTGATTCAGCATCTGCTCCGAGTTCAACGCAAAACCATATTGATTGAATTGCGGCTCCACAGCGTTGCTGCCACTGAAATGGAAGCTGCGTTGCACATTGATGCCACTAGCACTGCCAACGGCAGCTGCCGTTGCTGAAGCCACATTGCCGGCAGCAATTCCCATTGGCATCACGGGCTGCAGATACGTGTAGCGTGCCAGCAACAGTTGCTCGGAGACGATGCGCAGCTCTTCCTGCTGCTGGATGATCAGTTTCTGCAGTTGGTCATGCTTGCGCTGCAGCTGATCCTGCATCTGGCTCTGCGTCGACGTCATCACAACGGTGCCCGGCAGCAGTTCCGATTGCGATTGGACCGTCATCGGCATGGGCAACGCCACCGATACCGGCACTGGCACTGGCACTGGCAACGGCAACGGGGACAACACGGGTGCCACTGGAAATGGCGCCATCACCGGTTGCATGGGTATCGCTGTCAGATATTGTGGCGGCTCCAGGAAACTGGGTGCCACTATCTGCGGGCTGGCCAAAGGGTAATTGGACTGTGGAAATGAACAGGGATTGCTGGTAACAATCTGCGACGGTGTCAGTGGCAACACTGGCACCATCTTTGACTGCAACTGTTGCTGTTGCAACTGCTGATGACTGAGATGTTGTAGTTGGTGTTGTTGATGTTGTTGCTGTTGCTGCTGTTGCTGCTGCTGCTGGTGATGCTGCTGTTGGTGCTTGCCAATGCGTTCACGTCCATGATGCGTGCGGGAGCGTTGACTTTGCTAAGGAAATGAGAAAAGGAAAAGATGTTAGATTGAATATATATTTAGAAGAGCTTCTTGCCACAGCTATTTGCTACCCTCTCAGCTCTCATAACTCACCGAACTGACGTGCGTCATGAGGGACTGCCTGCTGGTAACTGACTCGGCCGACATCGATGTGGAATCCGAGTCATTGGCTCGACTCGGATAGAAATAACACTTGCGCTTGGCCTTCGGCGAGATGCCCGTTGAGCTGATGTTGCCGTAGCTGGAGGCGGGCCTTGAAGTCTTCAACGGATTGACGGGGCCAGAGTGACTGGCCGTAGCCGCTGGCCCCGCCGACCACATGGGTGAGGCATCTACAGCATCTGTTGCTGTGGCATCTACCTCATTGCTTAGATTCTCAAGCGTGGTGTTGAGCAGCGTGCTGTCCAGATTCGGATGGGTCAGCTCAAAGTCACGCAACGTTGCGGTGGCCGAGGCGCATTTGCTGCTGCCATTTGAATTTGAGGTGGGCGCTTTGTTCGCCTTCTTGCGGTCCTTTTTGTTTTGCTTGAGGACCTCCGCATAGCTGACCACCTTGTGCGTGCAGACGACATAGTCAGGCTTGGAGTTGCACTGATGATAGTTGACATAGTAGTCCGTCTGCAGCCAAATCCATTGTTGGCCCTTAGTTAGGAAGCGATAAAAGCATAACTTGCCCTCACCCGTCTGACGCACTGGAAGATGAGAGAAGCGTGGATTAAAGTTACGCTTTTCGCAGTGTCACATCTTACATACATTCCTCGTGGCATGCCACAATGCTGTCCAGGTCATCGAAGTGATAATAATCATAGCCCGAGGTGCCCAGCACCTCAAACGGCATGTATCCAATGATGGGCGGCGCTCGATGATCCAGAAAGAGAAATTTCCACTCCATGCTGTGCTTCGAGATGAACTCATTGCTGGTGGGATCGATGATGCTCATCTCGCGTATCAGTTGCGGCGTCTGTATCCGACCCGTGCCCACAAAAACTAGACTCTTGTCCACCTCCACATTGGGATTCTGCTGGAAGATTCGAGGCAGCGTCGGTGAGTTGCTACTCTGACTATCCGAACTGGAGCCCGTATTCAGATTGGCATCGTTACCTATCGGATCAGAAAACAGAATAAGAACCAATGCTGGAATGCTACTGATCGACTACCTACGAAAGTAACCCACAAACTTGATCAGCTCGTAGGCATTTTTCTCCACTTTCTCGATTCCACCTCGTTTCAGATGCGCGTAGAAGGTGATCTGATTGCTGGCATTGATGTCCGTCTGGCGAGCTTCGATGAGAGGCGTGGGATTCAGGAAAATATTGAGCAGAGCTTCGTGCTCCAAGTCATAAGCCAGATCATAGATACTCATGTTGTACAGTTCGTGCTGCAAGCGAAACAAACTCGTCTAAAGTAAATAATGCAATTTATTTTGGGTGGTCGCGCCACTTACCGGCAAATAGCCCAACTGGGCGGTAATACTTTCCGATGTGTAAAATATGGATCCCATACTGCTAAAGACCATCATGAAGCCATCCAGGGACTCCAGCATTAAGTGCGTAAACTCATCGTTAGTCAGAAATGTGGGCTTCCAGTCTTGTTGTATCTCAAACACCCTCGAACGATCCGTTGCCTCTGCGCACATATCACATCACATTACATAGGATGTTCTATATTTAAATGACAACTAAATATTTACCATTGTGGTTCTTTAGGAATGCTATTGTCGACTTGAGCACTGTTGACTTGTCCATTTTACGATTGGACGGGGTTATCAATGCGCTCAAATCATTCACAAGCGAATTGAATTGATCTCGACGCTTCTTCTCGCTCAGATTTCGGGATTTTCTGCAAATAAGACTGCGCGGGTTACCAAAAACAAAAGCTTGTATAATTCTCAAATAGTAAGGTACAAAAGACAACAAAAAAAAGAAAAAACGTTAAGATTAGCTCAAGTAGAAAAAGGATTGCACAATGACTCACCCCATCCCCCCAAAAATAAACCTCCCCAACACACACTTATACACTTATACACTGACACACACTTATACACTTACACATACGCTTACGCACACGCACACGTTGAACAGCTGCTCACCTTTGGCTCACGTGTGTGCTGCGATTGATGCTTTGTCTGGCGTTTATTAGACAAATCCACCCACATGCTCTCAACACATACTGTGCGCTGCCTCATGCGTGTGAGCGTGTGTGTGTATGTGTGTGTGTTTGTGTGTGCCTATGTGGATGTGGCAGGCACAAGAACAGTGTCCTTTCTGTTGTCGCTTTGCATTTGTTGCGCTAGGACAAACAATTTTTGGGCTCTATTTATGCATTTGACATTTGCGTGTCAATAAAATGAATCCCAAAGAGAGAAAGAGACAGAGAGAGAGAGAGACAGAGAGAGAGAGAGAGACAGAGAGAGAGCTATAGCTCAGAGACAGAGACATTGCTAGATAGATACACTAAGCAGGAGTTGGGTGTGAGTTTAAATGTTTTCCTGCCTTTTGTCAGCTCCTGGAATCCAGTTTCGATTCAATGCAAAAGTAACTGCATAGACAATCCAAGGGAAACATTGTTTTTTTTTAGCTACTCCCCTAAATCTAAGTCAAGTTTATTCTTGTTACTTATCTATTCACTACTATATTAACAACTCCATTAGCAGTGCCTGCTTGATTTGCCTGTTAAAACGGTTTAAAAGGTTTTTAGAAACTCAGAATTAACTAAATATTGTTGTACATCATAAAGAATTATTTTGTTTATTGGATTAACTTTCTTCTTCTTCAATTTCCCTTCCGAAACTGTTGGAACATTTTTCGCATAGTCAAAACTAAGAAATATTATATTTTGTACTATATTAGATTTATTCTTTTTCATACTATATTTCACATTGAGATGCTACGTATAATTTATTTAGTTTATTAGAATAACTGAAAGTTAATTAAAATTAAGATATTTAATTAGACTATATTTGGCTGAAGGGTCTTACATGGTCAACTAGATCAAAGGAGTGGACTATAAAATGTTTTTGTTATTTTATTATATTTTATAACTTATTTATTGCGTACGTCTTATGAATTTCATAAACATTTATTTATTCATTAATCTATTTGTATTATTTCTCTTTCTCTCTTTCTCTTTCTCGCTATCCATGAGCATATTTTTATTTATCAGCACAAGATTATTATTGTCTTCGAGCAGTGCTCACTTTTTAATTAGGTCTCAAATACAACAATATTATGCAATATTCATATTTACTCTTCTCCTTCTATACTCAGCCTTCTGTATTTCAACTGGGTAATGAGAAGTTGCAATGTAATTAATCAATTTACTGCCAAATCCGAACTGAACTTTAAGTGTATCCATAACAATAATGTTATAATATTTAATTAGCATAGCTCAAGTTGTGCACCTCTCTCCACTCAATGATTGTGTGTCTCTCTCTCGCTCTCTCTCTCCCTCTCTCTCCCTCTCTCTATCTCTTGGTCAATCTATCTATCTATTTCTGCCTTTTCGCCCTCTTTTTCTGGATATTGAAATACTAATTTGATATTTTTATTGCAAGACACAAGCTCAGCGCTTTTACATATTATGCAATATCGAAGAACAGGCGAAAGCGAGGACTATAAATATATATTTATATATTTATACGCTGTGGCCAGTGTCCAAAAATCAAATCACACTCAAATTACAGTTAATTAAAGTACTGAATTCAATTTGAGTCGACATTGATTTGAGGTTTATATTACCTGAACAACCCGTCCACAAAATGTTGCCAACTGTAGAGTTTATTTGTATTTTTTTTTGGTCTGGAGTTGGTGGGAGGGGGGGGGGGGGGCTGTCACGGGGAAAGGTGGGTGGCAAGTCGATTATGACATATTTTGCTGACAGCTTTTCACTTGTATGCGTCATGGTCATGGCCATGTTCTTCAGCATTACTATCTATTTGAATACATTATACGCAACTGCCTACATATGTTTTTAATTTTATTTTTATTTATTTATTTTTTTTTTTCGTAGTCTGCACATCATAACTGTCAGTTGCAGTGCAACCCCGTCTATCTGTTGTTCTCTTACGTATTTTCCGTATTTAGATATTCGCTGCTGTTGTGTGTAGATAGATACTCTTTCTATATTCTCACCTTTTCGTGTCATCCTTATCGTCGCTCTCGTCGTCCATCTTCGTGTTTGTTTGATAATCCTCTTCCAAGTTGGCGATTTAACAAAAAAACAATTCCGAAAACCAAAAAAAAAAAAAAAAAAAGCACTGCAAAAAATATTTTAAGTTGGCAATTCGATGCTTACATATTTGTATTATTTATCGTTTTGGGCTTGCATTGAAATTGAATTGTTAACACTTTGGTTTTTTTTTCACTAGCATACACACAGCAGCTATTTCCAATCGTGCCACATTTTGTATTTATTTTTCAGCTGCTTGAAGAGAAATTTGTAGAGAATTATTGAATTTAATATTGTGCATTAATTTGTAGTTATTAAAGCAATATTTCTTGCATAAATAAATATATATTTTATGTATTTTTAGCTGCGACACGTTTCGCGTTACCGTCAGCAACAAGTGCAGTTGAGCTTCTGTCCTGCCTTTGCCTGACAATATGCTTAAGTCAAAACACACACACACACACACACACACACACATTACGGTACAGAATAGCTTTGTGCTGCTGGCAGCAGCAGCAGCAGCATCCTTTGCGAAGGAGTCGAACGCTGCTGCTGCTGCTGCAGTTATGTAATGCTTGTGGCACTCGATTGTGCTGCGCCTGCGCATGTGCCACACCACATGCCCCGTGGTGAATACGCTGTGCTTGAGCGCCAATCAGTGCAGGCGTCGCAGATGTTGCACTTTTGCAACCCCTAAAAAGTATGCTATGCTTAATGCCACCAAATGCGTCGGCGAATGCCATAACAACCTATTCCCAGTCGCTGCTGCTCCAACTCCCACTAGCTGTGTGTGTGTGCGTGTGTGTGTGTGAGCAGCTGCTAACCAATTGCCTGGCTGCGTTGCCTTTTTCCACGACGCCTATTTAAAGAGCAGACACACACACACTTAAATACACACATTGCATAATGTTTATCTGTGTGTGTGTATCTGTGTGTGTGTATGTGTTTGACTGACACTACATTTTGAGCAGTTGATTTTGAACTTGATCTTTTTTTTTATTAGTTGTTGTTGTTGTTGTTGTCATTTGAATGCGAACGTTTGCGGCAATTTAGCATATGGGTAAACAATCGTTTGCTTAATTGCCAATTGGAGGGCTTCGCGTGCAGCAATTTGTGGCAACTTGCCGCAACAAAACTTTCACTGTTGCCCCAAGAAGAAAATGTCAAAGAAATTGTTCTCGAATTTCTTATTGTTGCTGCTGAAAGCCTGGCAACTGCTTGCCACAGCAAAAGCAGTGGCTGTTGCAAAAGGTGCAAAATGTTGCTGCTGCGTTTACCCTTAATTAAAAGCGATTCATGCGACGGCTTTAAATTTGCAGCTCAAAAGCGGCTTAAAACGCACACAAAAATACAAACAAATATACATATATATATAGATATATGTATATATATATATAGATATTTGGGTATGTGTATTTGTAGCTGTTTAATTAATCCGTTTAGCCGCTTGTCCGGCAAACGGCAAGTGAAGCATTTAACGAGTCATAATTTCCCACATGTATTCCCACAGATACAAGTCCAAGCGACCATTCACATTTGAAATCAACATCAAAGCCAAAATGCCGACAGTTTTTCCCAGTCTCACAACCCCTGACGCCAAACAACCCAACCAGCTGTAAATGCTGCTCCTGGCCAAGTGTTGCTGGTTAACCCTAAGTAGCTGTTGTTGTTGCTATTGTTGTTAGTAGAAAGACAGGTTGGGGTTTTACCTTACAGACTGTTGTTGTGCCAGCTTTAAAAAGTAGCTGTTGATAATTGGCAACAAGTTATTTAATGGCTCGAATTGCAATTAGTGCGGTTTGCTGGATGCTGCGGAATTGCCAATAGCAAGAATAATAAGTCCAAGACGGAAGGAGTCAGGCAAAGCTTGCTTTTTACATCTTCCCTCCAAATCGACAGTTGCATAATAATCAATCATAACTGTATCCGAATGTAAACACTACAAATAGCTGCAAGAGCTTTTGACAAGTTATTTACCCCCGCCCCGGTCCCAACGGATTTTAAGCCCGAAGCAAACAACATATTTTCCAATGCACATTTGGCATTGATAAAAGTTGTTTTTTTTTTATTTGCAATGCGGAAGCAAATTACTCAAAAAGCCGGTTGCGAACAAGATCGTTGACTGACCTACTCATGCCAAAAAGCGCAAAGCTCTCTTCTGCCTTACGCTCTCTGCTCTCTCCTCTCTCGTGAGCTCAAATGTTCCCACACTCTCGCTCTCTTGCTCGCATGCCGTGGCAGCTAACGTCATTTGATTGCATTTCTAAAGCTTCGCTCAGTACGAAAATTATCGCATAGTTACGCTGCATGTGTGTGTGTGTGTCAATGTGTGTGTGTGTGTTTGTGTGTCAATGTGTGTGTGAGTGCTTGTGTCGGTGTTTGATTTCTTTGTCAGTGAACTTGAGCTTTTGCTGGCTGCGCTAATTGCATTGCGATTACAGCATAGCGCAAATGTATGCGTGTGTTTCTGTGCATGAACCGGTGTGTGTGTGTGTTTGTGTGTGTGCTGTGTGTGTTGTGTGTGATAATACCTAACACTTATACGCCCCCTTCAGCGCTCAGCTCTTCGCAACGTTTTCTTTGGCTACGTTCCGCCTTTTACACAGCTTTGCGAGACTTTTGTAATATTTTTTGTTTCACTTGCACTGCTGCACTTTTGCACTACTCACATATGCGCTCTCTCTTCCTCTCTCTCTCTCTCTCTCTCTATCTGTGTAAATCCCTTATTCTCTTGCGTTGTTGTCTATGCTCTCTTTGCCTGTTGTTGTTGTTGTTTTAAACTTGACTTAATTAAATTTTTCCTTTTTTTTCTGTTGTGGTTGTGCTTTATTTTTATATTCCGCCAATTGTCCGTCATTCATTGATTTATTTTATCTTTGTGTTTTTATTTTCATTTCCGCTTTCTTCGAATATTTGTTTGTTTGTCGGACATCAAATATCTTGAGAGATTTGGGCTTATTTTATTGTTGAACCCACTTAAATATAATGTTAATTTCAAGCACTGGCTGAGCTCAGGTCTAAAGATAATTTTTCCCTTCAAATCTTCTAACCTGTCCCACTCAAAGTAACTCGTATACATTAAATACAAATGCAACGATTTGTCTTGTTGCCATAAATAGTCGAGGCATGATGCACTTAAGCACCTCATCTCCCAAATGAACAGTCGATGGGGCACACAAAGCGGATGTCTGGCTACACACTGAAGTGTGTGCATTGCACATGCTCAGCGACAAACTTGCTCTTTAATTATTATTTTTGTTAAGTGGCAAACTTGGTAAATTTAATTTAATATTTGTTTGAAGCGCGCTTAGAATAGTTAAGAAAAAGAGAAAGAAGTATTTTTAAGTTAATCTTCATAGTTTATACAAATTTAAATCTTTAATTATCTGATAGCTGTTTGGCTTACACTTTTAAGTTGTCTATTCTAATTCACATAGTTATAGTTACTACCCTCAAATTCTAATATGTTTATAGATTCTTATATTATTGGGTTCTTCTAAAGTGTGTTCAATCAGTCAAAGTTGTGGAAAAGAGCAGACAAGAAGCTTTCCCTTTTTATGAATTCTTATTCAGCATTTGCTTTTGTTAGTCACTAATTAATTTCTCCCTTTTCACCTTTGTTTTAAAACTTAGCGATATCATTTAAATACTCTTTGCTGCTGCTATTTGGTTAGTTGCCTTGCTTATCTGACTAAATAATAACCCAATCTAGCGTTTCTTTTTTTATTTATTTTGTTTTTCTCATGTATTTGTGGCAAACAAAGATTTTGGCTAGCTAAATAGAATAACGCTCGCTTCAGGCATTTTTTTAAAAGTGAATTGCATTCACAAAATAATGTTAGCAGCGGTGTTTTGATAGTATTTGTCGGTCGCATGACATATTTGAGAGTTGGTTGAAAGACGTATTGCGGAGATTTTGAATTATCTTTGTAAAATATTTGTTTATAATTGAATAGTAGTCAATTGAAATGCATTTACGCTGGAATTCTATCTGCCTGGCGCATGATCACACACACACACACACACACACACAGGCAATCAGACACACCAATGCACAATGCACACGCGCACTCACACAGCGACACCAGCGGGTAGCAAACTGACACACACACACACACACACACACAGTTGTATTTGATTCGACTCGACTTGACGCTCAAACGCTGACGATGACGTTTCAAAAAGACGCTACTCAAAGCCAGAAACAGACCCAAAAACCCAGGTCCCCAAATCAAAGCCAAACCGAGCACCCTCCGCTCCTTCAGCACTTTGACAATGAAATAAAGAACAAAAAAAAAAGAAGAAAATTAGCTGAAATACTTAAACAAAGAACTCAAAAACTTAAATCATTTTGTCCAGTTGTTTTTTAGTTTTACTTGTTTTTGTCATTTACATATTTTGTTTGTTTGTTTGTTTGTCAGTCACTTTTCAGCTGGCTGGCACCTTTGAGCTTCGGTTTGGTTTAGTTCGCTCTCTTTTTGCACTGCAAACGTAGAATGCATTTTTGGTTGAATGCACTTTTGAGTAGTTCTCATATTTTTAGTGTTTATTTGCTTAAACCCCCCCCCAACCACCCCCTTGCAGCATGCTTTTGTTTGTAGTTTGTGTTCTAATAGTTTTTTTTTATTATATTTTAGCACTTGTGTTTAACGGTTATTTTTCACATCTTTTCCTTTTCATTTTCGCACCTGGTTTTTAATTTAATAATTACTTCCATATTTAATTTAATTGCTGCAATTGTTAATTTTTCCATTTAGACTTTGCAGACTTTAATTAAATTAATCACTTGATATACATTTATTTAATATTTACACATTTCTTATTAGCACTTGATTTGTTGTACACAAATTACACAATATTTATATTTGCCGCTCTTATTTGTTTTTTATGTCATTTTTGTTTACTCTGCTTTTCGCGTTCGTCGGCGCACAAGAAATAATTATTTATTAGTGTTTAGTATGTTTTCATAATATTTGCATGGCTCTTCAATAAATTTCCACTTTGAAAGTATTTTCATTTTATTTTTTTTTTTGCAAACGATTTCATTTTATATTTTTATATTTGCGACGATTACTTTTAAGTTTACTTTTTATACACTAAATAATAATTATAAAATGTTGAGGGAATAAAATAAAATACACACAGCCAAAGATACACAGATACACAGAGAGAATTACGAGCGCACTCTGTGAAGCAGGCAAGACGAAAGCGTGCAATTTACGATCGAGTTACAGCTGAATGTGTCAGTGTTAGTTAGTTAGACACAGCGAATTGCACACATGAGAATAGTGGCGAGTTATAGAAGACCGTTATGAAGATACAGCGAATATTATAAATACTATATACGATATATATATACTATTGTTAGGTACGTTTTGGGCTTGTCAAAGCAACCGCTGGCAATTGCGCCTCGAGCTTTTGGAGCTGACTGACGACTGGTGGGAGGCTGCTGCTGCTGCTGCTGCTGCTGCTACTGCTGCTGCTGCTGCTGCTACTGCTGCTGTTGCTGCTGACTCTCGCTGGAGTACAACGCTTTTGTTGATGATGTTCAACTGGGTACTGGGTACTGGGTACTATATACTGGGTATGGGGAGACGCGGTCGACGCTCGTTGTCGCAGCGCGTGTCAAAATAAAACTGAAAGAAAAGGCCCCAAAAACGGTCGACGACGAGAACTGCAATTTCTAAGCTGCACCGCTGCGCTCGACAAAATGAAAATACAAAAAACCAAAAACAAAACAACGTCGTTTTGTTGTGCTGTGGATAAACGTGTGCTGAGCGTTGAGTACGAAATGCGAGCGCAAATACAAAATAATGTTCTCAATTCTCAATTCTCACTCTCACATGCTTTTTTTGTTGCCGTATTGCTGTCGGCATTCTGTGCGCTGGCCGGTACTGTTCAACGATACGTATACGCGATGTGCGAGCACTCTCTCTTTCTCTCTCTGTCTCAGCATTACTATTACCTGACATTTGCGAACAGCGACCGGCTATTATTTAATACTCACTCAACGACGATCGTTGCGACGCCAACAGCAGTCGCCTGCCTTTGGCCACTAAGCAGCAGACGGCAGACGGCAGACGGCTGACGGCAGTCAGCAGACTTCTCTATGTGTGTTATATGCTTAGTACTTTGCCTTTATCTTTCTCTCTCTCTCTCCCACTCTCTCCCACTCTCTCTCTCACACTCTCTTTCTCTGTCTCTTTCAATAATGTACAGCTGCTATCAGTTATCAGAATTGCGCAGGGTCGACTTTTTACCAACTCTCAAATGATTTCGAAGTTATAAAAGTTTCCCTTCTAGAGGCTGAAGGTCAGCAAGGTTTGATTGCCATATAATTAATATACAATTTTCGTCTCTGCAGCTGGCATTAGCAGCCTAATAATACCCTTTGACTTAGTCAGGTATTTCAAGCTAATCGGCAGGTGCTATTAATTATTGATGATCTTTGCTCGCTTAGATCGAAGCTTTGTGAGACTTCTAACATTTTCTAATATTTTATATAAATTAAATTAAATTAAATTCAGTTAAATATTATCCAAAAGATATTAAACTCTGTCCAGCATATGATGTATATTTACGCAGTATCTACAAGTCGTTGATTCATTATCAAAATGTTATCTTTTGCCTATAAATATTTGATAATCAGAGTTGGGGTCACTCAAAAGCAACCGCAAAATTCCTATCAACTTTTGCAACCGAAAAAACTAGAAGAATTGCATTGCAATTTGTCTTTTTAATTGATGATAGATTGATAAATTGAGCTTTATCAGCATATCAAATAATTGATTGCACAATTGTTCGGATTCGGATCAAATTGCACCACAAATTTCGTATTTATTTTATGCTCACGTAATATGCACCATGGCAGAGATTTGCATATTATATTTGTTTTCGCGCCCAAGTCTTATGCATTTCGTTCGTTTGCAACACACACAGGATATATTGAAATTGTATATAGTGCAGTCTGTGGGCGTTAGACCTAGTGTTAAATATTTATGGGGCCAGCCCAGTAAATAAATCGTATGCCTGAACTCCACTTTCGAGTTGAACTCAAATTGCAGTCGAAGGCTATGCTGCGAACGGATTGCAATAGCATTGCTCTAAAATTGGAATAACTGTACAATTTGATTTTAATTTGTATTTGTTTTTTTCTTCGATTTTTCGTTTTTTTTTTTTGGTTTTTTTGTAAATTGCATTTTATTGGACATTCGATTTTGTAAATGAGAGAAAAATACGAGGAAAAAAAAAACGTAGAAAACTGAAATATCATTTATCATATATCATTTATCATCATAGTCAATATTCATTCATATATTCATTTATTTCTTTTTCGCTTTTTTTGTTTGTTTGTTTGTTGTTTGTTGTTTTGTTTTAGTGTTTTCGGTATAAATTAGACACAAAAAACGTTTACAAATTATGTCGAATATTTCAAAAACTTAGCTGACAAAAATCATTGATTATGTTGTATAAAATTACATAGCTAGGTGCTAAATGTGTGTGTGTGTGTGTGTGTGTGTGTGTGTGTGTGTGTGTGTGTACTAAATTAAATTCGTGATCGTATAAGAAAGATGCTTGTTTATAAGGCGTAGTTCAACAAAGTCCTAACTATATACAAGGATTTCCAAAATGAGCTGACTGGCAAAGCAAATTGTTGTTTTTAAAATTGATTTGCTTCACAATACAAAAGAATATTGAAATGAGGCATGAGGCTTACAGTTAATTAAATTATTTAAATTGCTACTCTTAAAGTTCTTGTGTGTTCTTTCGTTTATAGGAATGCGGACTTTAGATACCGATACAGATACAGATACAGATACAGATACAGATACAATTTAATTATACAATATAATAAGTAGTTACAGATACAAATACAGAAAAAGAGCATTGGCATTAGCCGATCAATCATTTTGAAATTGGCATATATATATATTATATATAAATATATATTTAGGTGAGCACACATACAATATACAATACAACTTGGATAGTATTTATAGCTTAATTAAAAAACATTTACAGAGAGACAGATCGTGTATGTTTCCTCAGAGAGTAGGAAGTTATATATATGTATTTCTGGAGCACAATTTAAATAGGGGGCAGCTAATAAAACAAAAATATTGAATTTGAATTTGCAATTGAAACGGTTTTTGTACACACGAATTCTAACTACTCGCTAATTCTGAGAGCTCTCTCTCTCTCTCTCTATCTCTTTTACACACATACACATACATTAGTTACGGTACTTTATTTGTATCTATATACATTTATACTTGTATCTTTTATCTTTTTTTTAGTTATACAAAAAAAAAAATAGTTGCAGATTGTCTTATAGTTCCAGCCGCTTATACTAAATTAAACCAAGAGATACTCCCAGTAGAGAATTCTCAGCTCTTCCTCCTCGAAATCTTCTTCTTTTGTTTTGTTTTCTTTTCTTTTGTGAAAAATTATTTTAAGTAATGTTTTTTCGCATTTTTTTTTTTCGAGAGTTGCATTGAATATTATTGAGTTTTCTTTTGTTTCAGTGTAGTTGCATCGTTTACAATTTGTGTATTTGTTTTCTTTTTTTTTTTAGAAACCATTAGTTGTTTTGTGGTTGTTTAAGTGAGAAATATTTGCAATGCCAAAATGATGAAGTTTTTGTGTTTTTTTTGTGGTTTTTGTTTGATTTTGTCTTGTGGAATGTGGTTCGTTTTTATGGTAGAAAAAAGAAAATTGGGGCTCTCTCTCGATTGTTAAAGGGGCGCGTCCAAACGACTTTTGATTGTATGTGTATACATATATATATATATATAGATATATAGATATATATATTGTTATAAATTGTAAATCTCTCTTGTTAACCACTACACATCGAGCAAGTTGAACTTTTACACACAATTTTGGTAACACTTTCAAGTGAACAGTTTTAAAGATAACAGTTTACAGTTTACAGTTAATAGCTACAGTTTACAGTTTACAGTTCTAAGTTTTACAGTTAACAGTTTACAGTTTAAAGTTTACAGTTTAAAGTTTACAGTTATGTTTTCAACTACTGATAATTTGGTTCTGCTAAGTTATTATTATTATTATTATTATTATTATTATTATGTATATCTTTTCGTTTTGGCCCCTAGGATAACAGTAACGTGTAATACGAATGGCTTAGACACAGAAATTACGCTTGTTGTTTTTGCTTGTTGTTTTTCTTTTTGTATTTGTTGTTGTTGTTGCTGTTGTTGTTTTCATCTACCACATTGAGAATAGTTTTCGACATTAATTACAACTACTATGAACTGCACTACAGCATCAGCTCCTCATCGGTGTGTGGCTCTGCATACAAACAGCACTCATCCACTCCAACACCAACACCTACTCCAACTCCGCCGGCTGCCTCATCGCCCACCTGCTCCTCACAGTCGAGGCTCAGATCATGCGGCTGCTGCGGCGATTGCGGCGCCTGCTGTTGCGGCTGTGGCTGCCTCAGCTCCTGCAACCAGTCCAGCGTCTTATCTATCGCCCGCAGCCGTTTCTCCAGCAACGTCGTGGCCAGTATGTCCACCTGAAAGCAGCAAAAGATGCCGATTAGCTACAGCTGGGCAAACTCTTAAATATAGCCACAGAAAAAAAATGAATAAATATTATTAAAAATGATAAAGTTGAACGAAATGCGTAGATCGGAGTGCGTGTGGCGTGTGGCAAGTAAGAGATGTGATTGGCGTACCTTCAGCTGCTGGGAGAGTGGCAGCAGTGCAATGATCCACCAGGCCCAGGCTGGTCCGTCCGTGATCAGTTGCCAGCTGTGCTCCAGCGTCGGCATTTGGCCATAACTCTGCAGTATTTCGTGCTTCTGCTCGGTGCTGAGGCTCTCGAACCAGCCGGTCGCCTTGTCCATCACCTGCGACTGCATCGTTGCCAGCGTATCGACCTGATCGTTGGCAATCGGCTCGTCACAGATGTACTCCACCTTGGCCGTTTCGTAGCCATCCTTTTCGCTGCGCGCCAATATCTTGAACCGTTTGCAGCCAATGGTGCTGAGTATGGAGCAACCGTCGCCGAGCAGCACACAGTCCCTGATGTCCAGTATGGTGCCGACGTCATAGTAACGCGATTTGCCGCTATGCGGCTGGACAATGCCGAACGTCTTGTCACCGGATTCGAGGGCGCGACGCACCATTAGGCGATAGCGCGGATCACAGACGAACAGGGGGCAGGGCACCGATGGGAAGGCCGCGGTGCAGATGAATACCGGCACCGACGGCTCCAGATCGATCTCCTGGCGAAAGCGTGCCTTGTACTGGTCTGGAATGAATCGTTTCATTGCGGCTTCTAGGAATTTCGTAACTGGCCGCTTGGCCAGCGCAAAGGGTACTGGCGAGGATGAGCCCTGATACAGATTATTATTGACATTTAGTTCCACAAGTGGTGACATGCACAATGGACACGAGGAGTTGTAATCCATGCAACGATCCAAGCATACCAGACAGTAGGTGTGTCCACACGGCGTCACCACCGGCTTCCACAGCGTCCGGCAGCACAGTACGCAATCAAAGTCGCTGGCATCGATCAGCTGACCGCTTACAGCACTCAACTGCCGCTGACCAGCACCGCCGAGCTCTGCATGAGTGGATTCAAAGAGAGAAAGAAAGACAAATGGATTAGTAAAAATGTGCTTCGATTTGATTGTACTCAATTAAGAGTAAAACACACTCAGATAATGAAAGCCTTCCACAGCTGAACACCTTTCTAATCTAATCTAAAACTTCATTTAAATTTACAAATGCGATTTTGGTTTGCTGTTTCAAACGGCTGCGGTGAATCTCTTGCTCAAGTCGAGTTCCATTGAGATTCGAAACAGATTGGCAGAAAAAACACTTCACGTGAAGCCAGCAATAAACATATATTATTAAAAAGAGCTCATTTTATTTTAATATGAACTGCAAATTAGTCTTTTGTTTATCAGCTTGCAGTTCACTTTACAATCCATTTGGATTTGGTCACAAGTTTATCACAGACAGCAACTAATCCCAACTCAACCAATTCTCAAAAGTATTGTTCATCTTACTTAGAACTAAGTTCATTATGCCTTACAAGACTTACAAGCTGAGCATTTCAACATAGCCCAGAACTCATCCATCTCTTCTTTATACATTACTAATCTATATTCTTTATACGATTTTTATAGCTCCCTTACAGCTTGAGAAATCGAACTGAAAACTGTTTAAGATCTTTGAAAGATCCTCAGCAGCTTAAGCAACCTATTTGAAAACTTTTTAAGCAGCTGCAGCAATTATTAAACCTAATCAAAATCGTTTCAGTTTGGTTGCAACTCACTCCTAGTAATGTCCAGTTCTGACTTTAGACTTCTAGACACTCCAGCAAACATTGAAAATCAGCTGCAGCTGTTATTAAACATAATCCAAAGCTAATCTGCGTGGCTGTTAGGCATGGCTACTACTCTTATTACATCTCTTATCAGATCTATCCCAATTCAACTCACTTCTCAGTCGCTGCATTTCGAGCTGGGCGCGTTCGAGCACGCTGCTGAGCACCCGACTGCAGCGGCGACTCTTGAAGGAGTCTCGCTCCTGCGGCAGATGTTGCGTGTCGCGCGACGCTTTCCATTTTCTGCGGCAATGTTTGCGATTCGCGTGGCGACGAGCCTGCAGCTCGAATTGCTTGGCGCTGTGCAGCTGATCGTAGACACTGCGCTGATCGATGTAGTCGAGGGCGCTGGGAAACAGAAAGTCGCCATTCATGTGCAGTGGCTCCTCCTCCACACCCTCCTCGACCTCGACCTCCTCCTCCTCGTCATCCTCGTCGTCGGCCATGATATAGTTGTTGTCATAGTGCTGCTCACAGCTCAGGCCAAACTCATCCTCCACATCGTCGAGATGGACGTGATGATGATGCTGTTTCCTGCGACGACGCAGCTGCTCCCACAGCAGCGCATACGATGTCTTTGATGAGCCATAACTGCGCTGCTGCTGCGCTGCCGACACAGGCAGCGAATCGATCAAGCCGCGACTTTTGGGCACTAAAGCCAGGAGACGTTGGAGTATCTGAAACAGAATCAAATTTAGTTGAATAGTTACAACAGCAACAGCAACACTCACCTTGGCGAGATCATGTTGAAAGATTTCCGAGTTGCTGAGATTTGTGTTTTTGTCGAGACAAATGGCCAGAAAGGCATTGAACAATGCCTCCTCCAGATGGCTCAAGCCGCTGAGCGCCAAAGCGCGCAAATAGTGAGCCTGTTTTTGAAAATTGAGAGCATAACGATTAGCGAGTGTTTACTGTAGTCAGCATAAAGCCTACCTTGGGCGATGTGCAGCGCGTTCTGAGCGCATTCTCAATGTCCGCCAGGGAACTTTGATAGTGATTCAGTTTCAACAACACCTCGGCACGCAAACAGAGACTTTTAAAGTTGCTCGGCGCTGTAAAAGAAGCAGAACAAATTGACTTAATTAATATCAGCTGTAAATGTTTGGCAAATTATCATAAATCGTGAAAATCAGACACTTAACTGTCAACTAGTTGAAATGAAATTGTCAAAAATGATCATCGCTCATCAGATAAATTTCTGCATTTCTTTTTCGCTCTTGGAGGCGATATTTGTGTGCTGTGTGCCAAAGCTAATTATAAAATTTGACCGTTACGTTGACGTTTACGTTTGCCTCAAACTATACATTCAATTAGACACCCACCCACTCCACACCAACCACTCACGGCGACATGCAACACGCGCGCAAATTCGGTAATTAGTTCGATGTCGACGCTGACGTTGACGTCGCTGTCACAGCGACTGCAATCGCCCACGCGTCTAATTTGACAGCACTTCTTACAGTCTGCAGCCAGACTGCAGGCATTAACATTTGCATCTAACAGCAGGCGCTTTAACAGCGGCCGGCACGCGCCGAGTGTAACATTTCTAACATACACCAACATAAATGTTGTAAATGTTATGTTTTTTTTTTTTAAATAACAGCAACTAGTGCGGGAATATGAGATTAATGACTTTTGAGCATTTATTTAGTTAGTGGTGCATATTTCAACACGCATCTTACATCAAGCTTGATTAATCAACAAGTTTTAATATTTATCTTTTTATGCCAGTTAAATTAATTGCTGGACATTAACGAAATTCAAATAAAACACGTATCAAGTTCAACAAACGAGTTTTACAGTATTGTAACTGTTAAGGCTGCAGAAAATGTTGTTAGCGACATGATAACATGTTGCCAACAAATAATTGTGCGACTGTTAACTGTTGTCTGGCAACATGCAAAGCAGCATAGCCGATGTATAACAGCGCTAAGAAAATGTGCACTGCTCCCACATTAAGCAGCAGCGTTAACACGGGTTAAGAGCAAGCGCACTTAACATCAATGTAAAATCGCTCTTTTCACATGCACGCTCTCTTACGCTGTTAACGGTGAAGAGCGGCGGCGCTTATGGGGAGGCGGCATATTGCAGGCAGCTGCTGACGCTGCTGTTAAAAAATCGCGATTATGTAGCCTAACATTACGCAACATAAAAGCAAGCGCAACAACAATCAGCGCAGCGTCAGCCCCAACGTAGATATCAATAAATGTCGGTCCGTTTGTCTGTCTGTGTGTGTTTGGCCCTCCGGTTGCTGTTGTTGCAATTGTTACACAAAGTGTTGCAAAAATGATTACATATCAGCCAATATACGCAGCAAATGCAGCAAACTCTTGCCGCTCATCAGATGTAAGACTTCCAGCTTGTCAGCTACAGATACAGATACATATACAGGCTACGGGTGCAGATACAGATAGAAACATAATGATGCTGTCCATGTTTGAACTTATGTCTGCTTATGTCGCTATGCTCGCTGGTTATGTAAAACACTCGCTGCTCGGCAATGTTTGTCAATATTGTTGTCCCAAATTGATGTCAAGTGTGTGAGCTGTGTGTGTGTGTGTGTGTGTGCAAAATGATAATATAGATAGATAAGGCAGGTAAATTGAGGATGTGTGTTGGGTAAGTGTGCTGCATGGGGGCAAATTGATGATGGAAGGCGTTTATTTTACAGCTATTTAGCTGAATTCACACGTGCCAGATAAATAGCTAATTATGTTGATACTTATTTAAGGTATCAGTCTTCACATAGATAAGATATACAATTTAAATATGATTCATGCATGCTTTATGTCTAATTATACAAATTGTATATAATTTTTAGTTATGTTAGAACTCTGAGTGAAAATTGCTCAAATATAATTGCGGAAATATAATAATGGAAAATGTATAATACGATAAAAGCTGGAAGAACTACAGATATAATAATGTCAAAGGTTTCATTTGTTCTTTTAGTATTTATCTCTTATATTATTCAAAACTGGTTGACTAGATAAAGTAGCTAGAAACATTCAAATAACTTATATGGTTTGCTCTTCTCATAGAGAGAGATACGTCTGCTTATCAAGTCTGTCGAAAATTGCTCGATTTAAACTTGATATAGTGGCACACTTATCACTTCCATAGTTGCTTTCTTTCTTATCAATACCATATATTATTATGTATATATATATATTCTTGATCATGGCCACATCCGTCTGTACGTCTGCTGAAGGCAGTATATAAGTCTGAGATGACCGGATCGGACCACTTATATATATTTATTTATATATATTTATATGTATATATCAAGAGTTTCATATTTATTAGATTTATATGTCAGTAGCATAAGTCCGATCTAGATGGCTATATAATCATCGTCGTGCCTAAGATAACCGTTCTTGCTTATTTGTATTTATAGATAACCTTGGTAAGGACGTTTATTCATTTGTTTTTTATATTATATTTAGATTGGGAATATTGATCGAGCTAATGAAAAGGTTGTTTCTGGTTCTATTATGAATATTTTGTATACAACAATTATCGTGTATATTATACTAGTCTACTTTAATTAGTTTGCTAATATGTTTTCTATAACAATGATTATAAATATTCTATTAGTTTAGTTTATTTAGTTTTTCTGAGCCCACGTTTAGTAATTGCTTAAGAAAGTTGAAAATAAAAACCGCAACTGTTTAGTAATCGCCACGATTATTACATTATTCCATCAGGCAATTAAGAACATATAGAAACTTAGATAATTGGAGACAGAGCTCGCATCGCTATCAACTCGAGCAGCTGGGAACGTGCTCAGCTGGCAAAGCATGCTATATCTACATAGTTCGTATAAATACGTATATCAACTTGATATATGGCATATATATAAATATATATCTCTCATTGCCTTCAGTCGCCACGTTCAGCACACGACTTCCCGTTCGATAGTGAGCGAAAGAGACACAGATGGACAGGCAGAGCGAGAGAGAGAGAGAGAGGGAAAACTTTTAGACGTAATTGATTACAATGTAAGCTGGTCGAGCAACCGTTGAGCAATGCAAATTCAATTAATATGCAACAGCCGAATGCCTCATTATAGTTGCTCTTGTTGCTGTTGTTGGTTGTCACTTTGCACTTATTAGAGAATTTAACGTCAGGCCAAAGTACAACATACAACAACAAAAACAGGCAACGATCTTAAGCAAAGGAAAGAGACTCCCTCGCTTTTTGATCATCCTTCGCTTGATCATTTTTCCCTAGTGCTGCAGACAATTTAAGCCCAACTGTTGATAAATTGCATTTCTGCATTTGTCGTTCTATATATATACTATATACAAAATACACTCTGAAAAAATCGATCCTTTAAAAAAAAAAATGGGTTTTTCTATTTCTAATTTAGCACAAGTATTTATAATTTCCAGAATGATTTTTCTATGTGTACATATAACTTTAAAATTAGATTTGTTGTTATTAAACGTTAGGATTTGAATTGCTAACATCCACAATAATTTTATATTTATTCCAAAAAAAAAAGGGATTTGCATTTACAAATATTTTCAATTATTATATTATATTAAAAATGGAAATAAACCCCATTAACTTAAATTATTATTAGTGTCAAAAATTGTTCAAGTTTTCAGAGAGATATTCTAAATTGTAGGACGATTCTTTTTCCGAGTGTATGCATATGTATGTATATATATGTATATATCTCTTGGCCACATGCGAGAGCCGCTTGCATTGAAATTGGATTTCGTCACGTACATTAAAAATCATTTCGCGAATTTTGCGATTCTCGTTGACAAGTGGCCGCCACTTGCAGATTACATAAGCATCGCCGAATAATATACGATATAAAATGAAAATCTGGCAACTGATTCATGAATCAAGTGTACTATAACCACAATCGAATCACAACAATAACAACAGTATACAATTTCAGTTCATGATTCATGTCTATTTAAATAAATTACAAGGGTAGTGCAGCATGTGCAGCATATTTTGCACCACTGTGCGGTCCACAATTGTGGGTCAGCACATCATTTTTATCATACACGTCACATAAATCAACGTGTTTTATGCGATTCTCCAACCGAAACTTAATTGTGCAAAGTGAGACGAGGAAACACAGAGCAACAAAAAAAAAACGAAAGAAACGTCGTTAAACAATTTGCTAAAAATAAACGTTGCGTATACGCCGTATCGTCCGACGCTGGTCAATCGCTTTGATTATTATGCTGTGCAAATTGCTGGGCACAATGCAAATACACACCACACACACTCACACACACACTCACACACACACTCACACACATAGAGCACACTTAGATCATTATGTAAAGCCAGCTGAAGGAGACACGACCAAATGCTGGGGCCAAACTGACCCAAATACCAAAATGAATGCCCATAAAATTGCCCAGCAATTCCCACTGGTTGAACAGAGGGGGTGGGGCGAGTGGCAAGTGGCATGCAAAGACAACTTGTTAAGGGAGCTATTGGGCCAACTTTATGCCAGTTAGACGGCCAGACAAAATGGCGTAGCTGAAAGGCGCTCAAAACTTGAAGCTGCAAGTCGCTTGGGAAACGCATTTTATGCGTTTTAGATTTCGTTTTTTTGCTCTTTGCTTTTTGCTCGTTGTTTATTTTATGTTCTTGTTGTGTGTGTGTGTGTGTATGTGGTTTGCCGCATACAGTTTGTTGTGGTTGTGTGTGCTACAAGATATGCGGCTAAAGTTTATTTAGCTAGTTTTGTGACACATTTAAGCTCACTTCTGGGCAGAAGAGTTAAACCAAATCGAATGTCAAATTGCAATATGGACTAAACGAATGTGTCCGACTAGCGAATACTCTATAAAACTGTTGTCAAATAAGCCTTGAACCCAATAAAAATGGCCAAAACGCGTTTAATGCATTTGTGCAAAAGTAGGAAACAGGCAGAAGCAAGCAGCTACGACCACATAAAGTATATATATATTCCTGATCTAGATCAATAGTCGTGTAGAGTTTCATACGATGGAGTTAACAGCTGTGTTTAGGGTATCTTCTAGTCGAACTGTGTCGATTCTCTCCAGTTTAGTTA